CCACCTTAGTTACCCTGCATCCTCCTTTTAAAGCACACCCATACTACACCCTTACTCCAGGATGTAACCTCTGCGCAGCTACGTACTGCAGGAGATCATATCTACACGCTGAAGATTTACGCAATAATAAGACCTGGGTCACATCACATTACGTTTGTGGGATAGCCCACCACAGAAAGCACTAATTAAATGTTATATATATGAAACTTTTTGATGGTAAATGTACCATTAAATATCGGTTGCACTCTCCTGTGTGTCACACCTTAACGCTGTCTTCTTCGCCCACGAGTCATGTACATCTGTGGGAAATGTATTAATGGATATCATCTGCACAGCGGTGACTATAGAAACAGTTCCCCTCTTAAAAAAATGATTACTCATCTGCCCAAGGGTGGAAACGCAGGGGCCCAAAGCACGGCCCTGAGGGACACCCGAGGGCCGGCCCGCGGTATCTAGTTACCTCTGCTGTTGGCTGTTCAGCTGCCATTGATGCACGTGCACATGGTCTGACATGTCCCACTGAAAGGGAAATTGTTCCTTTAAATGACACCACGTCTAACCATCTAACGTGTTCTTTATGAATTATAGTGTTTGATTTTGGGGAATTCCACAGGATTACCCTTTGTTACTGTTTTTAAGACTGGAAGAAGTAGCTCCAGCTACGCAGATGTGATTGTCTGCCATCACCTGCCAAGACTTAACGCTCAGTTCAGCACAAACAACCAAAAGTAGGGCTGCTGGCCAAAGCAAGCCGACGCCACTACTGTGCGGATATTATTTCCCTTGCAAAGCCCAGAGGTTAATTGATATTTGGGAGGAATTTGGGCGGACAGATGGGAGGGGTATATCACAATTCATCATCAAAAGTCTTTCCAAAGCGGTCTTTGTCCCTGCGGGGGAAACACACTGAGGCCGGCTTACACAGCATTACATTAATCCAGGGGCCACAGCTCTCCACCATTTTCTTCTCTGTATTTATGGATATATTCCCCTAAAATATAGACGTCTTCATTTGTTCATAAATGCTCAGATGTACGTTGTCATGAAATGGAATGATGCACACGCACGGCCTCCAGCCGCCTGACACGATGAGATGACAGACCCCAGTGTGGCGCCGAATGGAAAAACCGAAACAAGCTGCAGGCTGCGTACTGATGTTTATATTATGGGCTTGCTTTGGATTATCATGGCAGCACGCTATATCCAAGCCCTGTTCTCCTGCTGCATTAACTTTTTACGTAACTTTACACTTGTTAGTTTTAAGTGGTGTGGGTGTTTGAAGATACGCGCTGTGATTATTTGATCTTCTTTTACATCTGCACAGCACGTGTGTTTTAAATGATCGGTTTTAGATTAGTTATTTGCATTAAAAGGCATAATACTACGCCTTCTATATATGTGGTCAAATTGTATATATTAATGAAGCTAGCTGAATCGTGATGGTTTCATAATGACCACAAGGAGCTATTCCCCCCTTATTTATCCACTTCCTCCCATGCCATCTGAAGAGGAGGACCACTGGCCGCTGGTGCCTGGTCTGCAACGCACCATAATCCGCCACGGATTTAATGAGCTTAATGTGCACTCCCAGGCCTTCTGAGCTTAAAGGCGTGTGCACTGCATGCACTGTAGTGCTGTTTGCTTTCTCCACTTAAAGAAATCAGACACACAAGCATGTCTTCACGCTGCGATTGGCCATATTACAGAGGAGGTTCTCTGAGAAACGTATGAAACGTTTACAAGTGTCAGTGTGCCCACAGACGCTGTGGTTTAATCCTTATCATTAGACTCGCACTACGTGTCTGTAACCATCTGGTGTCAAAGTGACATATGTTGTCATGGAGCCTAAAGTCTTGGGGGGGGGGGGGGGGTAAGTGCAGACCAGAGCCCTGCAGTGTCGCTCAGGCTTCCAAGAATAGGAGGAGATTTCACAGCTTGATTGGGGATAAACTGTGATTTAGTCCTCAGACCCACGATCCACTCGGCCCTGATACTAACGCACTTTCTCTCCTTCCGGAGTAAATGACCACAGCCGAGGCCCCGCCGCGCAAACCAGAAATCAACATGTCGCTTTCTAACCATGCACCCAGAATCAGGAAATAACGTAACACATTACAAACAAAGCATTCAGAAAACATATGCACAAAAAAGATTTACCACAGCTAATATGATTTAATAGTTCATTTAAAATGATGCATATAATGTGTGACCAAGAGCTACCTAGAGGGTCAAAATTAGAAAGAAATTGTGACTTGTATTGCAGCTGTTGTAGTCCTGACCACACACGCTGGAGAAGACTTCAAGCTGTGCTTTATATACGCAGAAGTCTAGATCTGATGTATGTTTTTGGAACTCCTGGGATTGATTGGAAGGGATTATCGCGTTAACACCCAACGCTCGCACACAAGTGAATCACTGAAGTGGTGACAAGTTTAAATTTGCTTTGTATTCTGCGTTCTGCGTTTGGTCTCGCAGAGGCCGTGCTGTGTGTATCTTTCTGCGGTAAAATAATCTTTCAGAGACCATAAATCGGACCTGGGTACGCAGGCCGCGCGGGCGCGTGACACGTTTTGTCACAGCTCAGCGGTAAAAGTCATTGTCATCATCGGCCGGTGAATTGCTTTACCTCCACGCTCTTCAACTGGAAGTGCTCCTCTTTAATCATGCTCGCTTCTGATTTGGCTCCATCGTGGCTGCAGCTGTGGAAAGAGTTGCGCTTGACATTTAAGACTCACTCCTGAGATACAGAACTCCTTCTTGCGTAACTGATCGCTTTCGCACGTGCAAACGGAAAGATTGTATGTTTCCACTGCACCGATTTCCTGTTACTGCTGTGTGTGACAACTGATATTACGGGGAATTTCAGCCCTAAAATTTCCATCAATATTTTCAAACAATTAGACGCAATTTCTTTGAATAGCGCAATGTATGCGACACCTTAAACTGCGTACCCGTATATACATACATACTAGAGAAAAGGCTTCTAGATCCATTTGTTTCTGTTCATCATTTTTTTTAAAGAAAATAGTTCCAGGACGGTTCCATTAAAACCCCTTTTTGGATAATTGTTGAAAGCATTGATTATTCAGCCCACGCAGACCCAGAAGCTGTCATTGTGTTGCAGGTGGAACGTTTACAACTTACCAGCAACCAAAAAGGGTTCTGCTATGGGGACAAGTTAAAGAGACCTGTGGGGGTTCTAGTTTGCCCCTTTATTTCCCAGAGTGTCTTTTTTCAGGCTTTTGTCCCAGACGCCATCCGATGACTGTTCACCCAACTCCCATTCTGCCTTGACGGAGTTGGACGTTTTCCGGGACTTTGGTCGACAATGACAGAAACGGAAAAGGCCCGGCGGAATGTTTGACACCCGTTCTGGCTCAAGAGATTTATGCTCAGCACCTCTAAGCACTCTGTGTAAAGACCGAGTTTGTACTCGCAGCTCGAAAGTCTTTCCCCACCGTTGTTAATTCTCATTCATTCATTATGATTATTTGGGTTATTAAAATTCAATATGGTGGCAAAATGTAACATGAAGAATAAGCAGGCAGCAAAGCGAGAAAACAGAAAATGTATTTGATTAGCATTCATAATACATTGCAGTCTTTAGGGCTCGTAATAAAAATATTATCTCTGATGTATCGAAGTAGTGTATGGGGACATTAGCTGCTGTTCAAACACGACACATTTATATACTTAATTTCATCATGTGCTGTGCAACATTGTTCTGCATGTCAGGATTACGAAAGCACGCGATAATCCTTAATCTTCTTAATGAACTTCAGTTGCTTAATTAAAGAGCCCATTCAACAGAACAACACAGAGGCATTTTTCCATTATAAAAGTACTTCCAGAAGGGATAATCAAGTCTGCTTCTTTACAAACATGTCCTCATATTTTCATCAGAACATGAAGGCCATCGTTATCCTCCTTCTGGGCTTTCAAACATGATTATTTGTTTTTAACTTTCATCCAGAGCGAGACGGGACAAGCTGAGCAGCGGTTTTAACCTCGAGGACATCAACAGAGATTTGTCTGTATTGCTGTGCTCTAAGGGATGACATTTAGTTTAATGCAAGAATGGAAACTGTCTAAGTGATAATCCTTCAAAAGCATCCTTTCACTCAAATTGTCCCTCCTGGATCGTATTCCATATCTCACCAGAACCTGAAATAATACAAACCCACGTTGACAATGGTTGGGCATTGACTGATTTGGTCATGGGTTAAATGTTTGCAATTGTTTAAGTCGGGCGTCAATAACAACATTGTAACAGGATTTGCTTCATGGAATAATTCCCCCTTTTCTGACCCTTAAAAAGCACTTTAATGTGGTGATTAGGGACCAAATCGACAGCCCTCTTGTGCATAAGTACATTCTGCAATTTCTCTGCATTAAATATGATGTCTCATCAACATCACATGTTGTCTCAACTGCCTGCTGTTATGCACCAACCGCCAAGTCAAATTCCTCGTATGTCTGACATGTTTTGGTAATAAATGTTTCCTGATGATGCTTCTGCAGGCTCTCTCTCTCTAAGCTTTGGATAGTCAGACAAAGAGGGATCTTTTTTTAAGTGACTGTTGCTTCGAGGCGGACTGGAGAAAGGGTGAACCCATCCTTGAAGGTGTTGGAGGGTTTGGGTAAAGTTGGGTCCAAACAAAAATGTCCCCCTGCCCTGAACCATTCAACCCCCCACGTGGGGAGAGACGTGAATACTTCCAATCATGTTCACTTGATAATCATTATTTCTTATAAAACATTGCTCAATATCTTAGCGAACTTGCCTGAACCAGTGAACGGATGTATTTGTGTTTGTCCAGGCGTGTGTGTGTTTGTCCCGTGTGTGTGTGTGTGTGTGTGTGCGGGCGCGCGCTTCCCGCAGGCGCCCCTCCTCCCCGCGCCACTTGTCCAATCAGAACAGAGAACGGCCGCACGCAGCGGCGGGCGGGGGAGGGTCAAGTGTGTACACACCGCAGGGCCAGCGGCACTTCGGCAGTAGTAAGCCGGGCGACGGACGGCCCCTTTTCCGCAGAACGAGCTTTCGAGATGAAGTCGGTGAAGCTTCTTCTGTGAGGAGCCGAAGCGGGGTGTTTTTTTGGGGGGGCCCGGGCGAAATGAAAGGACGGAGAAATGCTCACGTTTACGTCGGGACCCGATGCCGCCGCGCGCAACTTTACCGTTCTGGTGAGTTTTCCTTTCTTTTTATTATTTATTATTGAGCATTTGGACGCAGCTAGAAGGCGACGGGCTCACCTTTCTGGGGGGGGGGGGGGGGGGTTCCTTCACCTCCACCTTCCAGCCGCAGAGATAAACAAACAAAAACAAACCCAAAACACGGAAAGAGGATCCGACAGTTAGAATAACGGAGACGCGTGACAGCGAACCACGCTTCGATCGGCGCAGTCAAGTGCGATGGAGACACACACACACACGTCTGCGATAACAAACACACACACACACACACAGACACCACCGACCGTTCTTTTCTGTGTTCCTGTCCCTACTTGTTCCCGCAGCAGCTCCGCCGATTTAACGACGCGTGCGTTTTCGCTCGAGGACGTTTCCTCGCGCGATCTGCTCTCCGCGGGGAACCAACCGAGCACAACGTGCATTATATAATGTGACTGTGGTGGGATGTCCTAAAGTCTGCAGCATGTTTAAAACACATATATCATGTATGGTCCTTATAAGTTATTGGATCCAAGGCCATGTATGAGTAAACGAGTTGTATAATATAAAGTTAACCTTGGGGAGTTCAGTCATTAAATAACAATCACAGTTGGGTTCATTCTCCTTTTTATTGTTCCACTCACAGGTGCGTGAACATGTACCTTTACCGATGAACTAGGCTTTACATCTTTGCTTTGGTGAATGACTTTTGACCTTTGAGGGCCACTACTATCCAGTGGTTGCTCATTGTGGAAGCAGCCGGCTCGTGTCCGCTCAGATAATGCATATATTCATATGGATCGAGGCTCTGCACATGACCCGTGTGACCCGGGGGGGGGGCATTGTGCATGTGCACCGTGGCTTAGAGGCAGCTTTGTGCTGACCGGTCAACGTCTGACTGTGTTGACGTCTGTCACAGCTCAACATGTTTCCCAGAAGACGCCGAGAACGCTGACTCGACTGACCGTGACCAAAGAACCAGAACTTGAGCGTGAAGCCAAATAGTTTTTCCAAAACAATCAGTCAATTAAACCATCAAAAGGCACTTTTTAGTTGTTGTTTTTTATTGCCCCCTCGAGCAAAGGAGTTTGTCAAGAAATTCACTAGAAGAAAAATAGTTCCTCAGTACCGCCGCTGTGACTCAATTCTTTGGAGACGATGATATTTGGGCAATGTTCCCAACCCCTCCACAGACACGCAGTTGATGGCTTCGTCATTTTAGTAATCAAAATATTATCCAGCATCAGCTTCATTAATGCTCTCAATTAACGGGCAGCTTTGGCGTGAACTTATTGTCTCTCTCTGTAGCATCTCTTCCCCGCTGGCGCTCCAGACGCGAGCGGCCAATCATGTGACATCACTCAGGGCTTTCTGGGAAGAGCCTGTAAATTCCAGTAAGGGCACATACGAGGGGTGTGGGCCCGGCGTGTCACACGCGGCTCCCATCGGCCCGCGAGATCTGGCTTCAGGACGCTGAAGGCGTCGAGCACATGGGCGTCGCTCCTAACGGAGGGCGGTTGGTTCGGCTGCAGCAAATAAACCCTAACACACACACACACACACACACACACACACACACACACACACCACCACACCCCCTCTGGGAATATTTGACTTGAGCGCTTTTGACATGGAGTGGGGCAAAAAGTTCAGACGGGGCTTAACAGAGTGTACGGCTACGGTCAAAGTGGAGCGGAGAGGAGCTCAGGCTGCTCTTGCTTAACGGTGTCGTTTTACGTAATGCACCTTTTATGGCGAGCCGCTATCAGGGCGCCACCGTATTTGCACATACTCCCCTGCAGGCTTCAATAACTCGTGTAAATACACAGATTACCTGGATAACGACGACCGGCTGACAAGTAGTAGGCCGCGCGTACAGGAAGCATTTGCACATGCTCTAATAACAACGGCATATAGGGCCTGATGTTGTGTTGATGTGTTGGTCTTTGACCTTCACGCAACCCCCATCAACATCCCGTCCGTCTGTAGCTCCGGCACATTGACGTCAAAACAAAACAAAACAAGAGATTTCCTTACCTTGAGCTGCTGGGAAGCAGCGCTAAAGTGCATCGGACGTGGAGGTTTTCGCGGTGCAGAATGTGCCACGCCAGCGCTAGCCGTGAAGACGGTGATTTACAGGTATTGTTCAGTACGGGCGCCGTGCTACTGAGTACTCAGAGGAGCCGCGTAGGAGACTTAAGCGCGCCCCAATACTGTAGATAGCGGCGTTATTTTCACTGTTCATCTGCTGTTCTGCATCTATGTTTTTCCGTGCTATCGAGTTTCCGCTTGGTACACGCGGGAAATTACGAGGTTTCAGATTCCACTATTTTACCGTCGGTCCAGATACGCACCGCAAATGCCACGGCTTCGGGTTTCGCCGCTACGTCATCCCCGGTTTGTAATCGTCACGGCCTTTCATCGGATGCTGTTCAAAGAGGAAACTAAGTGTGTGTGTGCAGAGCAACACGAACCCCTTTTCGTGCATGAAAGCCGGGCAGCTCTCAGAGGCCGAAGCCGGAGCCAAAGCGGTAATGAAAGGGTGCACAGCAGGTGCTAATGAGTGAGCGCATCCCGCCTCCTCTTTAATAACGGCCGTCCTCATTATCTCCTTACTCGTCTAAGCAGCGTCAAAGCGCGTGATCCACGGCTGAGTGTGTCCCTGCGTCGAGCCCCGTCTTATGAAACGAGTCGCCTTAGAGAGCCGTGTTTACAGGAGGTCGGACCGGGCCTCCCGACGGGCGCTTTCGTGACGAGTAACTCTACCCCCCCCCCCCCCAAACCCAAGGTGCTTCACTCCAAAAGCGGCCCGCAAAGGTGTCCGGGCATGAGAAGTGTGTTCTTTTATCCGTGTGAAAAGCCCCGGGGCAGCACAGCCAGCAAATGCCCCAGCATGAGAGAGAGGCAGGGAGGGAGAGGGAGGGAGAGAAGCTTGCAGAGGCGTCGAACGCTTGCTGACGTGATGCACTTTGAGGCTGCGCCGGCAAACGAAGCGTATTGTCAGGCGTTCGTATGCAGCCAGCGGGACGCAGTGAGGTGAGATCCACGGCGTTCCCCCGTCTCCAGCCAGCGTAGAAACCCAAAACGGGCGTTTTAGATTCTCTGTGACTGATCTTTTTAGCGTACAAAGGAAGCAAGGTCTTCCTGTCCGGTCTTTCTCTTTCTCTCAGGAAGCCGCCACGTTTCTGGGCGGTTGTCGTGTGCTGCGTAACTAACCCCCGTCTCCCCTCCCCCTCCGCCCGCAGTGGACCCGCTGTCGGCTCTGACCTGTGACGGGGCCCAGCGATGTGGCTCTGCGCCGCGTACAATGAGACCGACTCCAGCGTGGACTTCCGCCTCTGCCAGGACTTCGGCCTCATCCTGTCCGTCTTCTCCCTCGTCTACCTCCTGGTGTGCTTCCCGTTGGGGCTCTGCTACAACGTGCTGCTGGTCGTGGTCAACCTCTCCAACAAGGTGTCCATGACCATGCCGGATGTTTATTTCGTCAACATGGCCATCGCGGGCCTGGTGCTCAACCTGGTGGCGCCCGCCGAGCTGCTGAGCTCCACCTTCACCCGCTGGCACGCGTGGGAGTACAACAACGAGGTGTACATCACCATGCTCATCCTCTTCAACATCTCCTCCCTGGTCATCATGTACTCCACCACGCTGCTCAGTCTGGACTACTACATCGAGCGGGCGCTGCCGCGCACCTACATGTCCAGCGTGTACAACACCAAACACGTCTGCGGCTTCATCTGGGGCGGCGCGGTGCTCACCAGCTTCTCCTCGCTGCTCTTCTACGTGTGCAACCACATCTCCACCAAGATGGTGGAGTGCTCCAAGATGCAGAACAAGGAGGCGGCGGACGCCATCATGATGTTCATCGGCTACGTGGTTCCGGCCGCGGCCGTCCTCTACGCCTTTGTGCTCATCCTGCGCATCCGGAAGGAGTCCACGCCTCTGGACCAGGACTCTGCTCGCCTGGACCCCTCCATCCACCGGCTGCTGCTGGCCTCGGTCTGCGTGCAGTTTGTGCTGTGGACCCCGTACTACGTGACCCTGCTGGTGCACACCGCGGCCGGCGTGCCGGGCTACATCGGCGGCGCGCATTACCTGCCCACGTATTACTTCTTGCGGTGTTTGTCCAAGCTGCTGGCCTTCTCCAGCAGCTTCGCGATGCCTCTCATGTACAGGCAGATGAACAAGAACTTCTCGAGCAAGCTCCAGCGGCTGCTGCGGAGGCTGCACTGCAGGGACCGGTCCTGCCCCCACGAACGCTCGACAGTGCAGCAAGTGGTGACGTGAGACCCCCCCCGCACCGCCTCTATGAATTGACAGATGCACCTCCCACTCCCCCTCCCCACCACCCTCCCCCGGCCATTATCAACCTCTTTGGCGTAGCCGGCACTTATCTGCGGAGCCAGGCCCCCCCGGCTGGGCTCCCTCGCTGCTCTGGACTGTGTCCGGAGCGACGGCGCTGACTGTGGAATTTCCTGTCACCTTCCGTGACTCTTTGTTTTCGGATCCAGCCAGAGTTCCGCCAGGGAAAACCACCACAAGTGCCGTTACGCTACAAGACACGTAAACAAGAGGAAAAAGCCGCCTTAGTAAGCGAGCTCGCATCGCGTGCGTCAACATTAGATTTTGAGCTACCAGCGGTGTTCGCTGCCCTCATGCCAGAGGCCTTGAAACAAACCCGGGTACTGGTAGCAAGAGGTGCCCTCACCTCACTTTTATGAATTGAATGACTATTAAGCTCCTCTACAAATGTCCTAGAATAAATAAGTATATTAAGTACTACAGGAAATGGACGCACGCAGCTGGTGTTCAGAGGTGAGACGTAACCGGTGTACCTCCTGTGGTCACATCACCAGCCACCGTTATGATGTGTTGAAGAGGCTGACGCGGGGTCAGTGGAGTCCCTCGGTGTCCCGAGAGAGGAGGCGGCATGTGCATTCCCCACATTTTTTGAGCGGTTGGAAGGTTTCATGCAGTAGAAACATGAAGCCTCACTGGGCGACCATCCGAACCTCGCCGGTCAGCAGCACGCTGGATGCAGAAGTGTAATTCCGCCCCGACCCAGTGAGCTAATCCGCACATTCAACGGGGAGGCGGCTTTGCTTTTTTGCATGAACCGACTAGTAGCGGTGGACCCCATATATGAAATGAGAAATGTAAAGAAAATGTACTTTTGCATGAGTGCCGTTGCATCTCTGCTTTTCTTTTCTTTTTTTCATATTTACTTTGTGAATCTGAGGGCCAGTTATTTGATCATCCTGTGAATAGAACATTGTAGTTTTTAATTCACCCCTTTAGATCAATGCTAGCAAAGCTAGAAGTCTTGTGCTTTAAAATGTGCTTGTGACATCTTGCCAGATGTAATAATACAGATGTTATGCTTTTCATGCGGATTTTAAATTAAGATTTTAACAATAAATCACTTCTACTGTTACGTCCTGTGACCAGTGGGGATATTTTTTTATCCACAATCGAGGTCTGAAACAGTGTTTTATTTTTGCTGCACAGCCCCACCCTTGTTATGTGTATCTGCAATCAGTCAGTTAGAAATACTGTTTATTTTCAGCTGAGCCTGTGTGTTTACATTATGCGCTAGAGAATGTGCTGTTTAGAAAAAGAGAAAAAACATGTACGTACCAGGATACAGTTAATCATTATCTGAGCCCGGTTCAAAGTCCCGAAGATTACTGACGGGAAGACAAACGGGGAGCACACGGTCAAATCATACCAGGGGGTTTAAGCAGCTTTTCTAAAAAGTATCTAATCAACCACGACACTTAATTCTATTCACCATAAATTGAGTATTTTGTTTGTCATTATTAAATTTGATAGACTTTTATTTGGTGAAGAGACATTCAGGCAAATAAAAGGCACTTAGGAGGCCGATAATCACCAAGTTCAGTTAAATTACTGAAAACTCCCACGAAGACCAGGCGGGTTAAAGAAACCTCAAAGTTCTTTTGTGTGGAATCTGTGCAGATGCATTTTAGCTATTTGAACGTAAAAACCTCAGAAGTCCACATGAAACCGCTCGGATGCTTCTTGTGACTGCGTATGCACGTGTACATGTATGATACAACGCAATGTGTATATATTGTATGTTTGGGATTTACAAGAAGATTCCATACTCTTTCTAAAACACAGTATTATTTTCTGAGAGATATATTTAGATGCTATAAGTAATCTACTCTATTGTCGACTGAGTCAAAGACTGATTAAAACAATAAGCTAACAAACACCACTCCTTATTTCACTGAATCTGATTGTATTCAACAGGAAAAAAATATTTTGCACGTCTGCTGTGCTTTCTGGTTGTCTGGGACAATTAACGCCAAATGTCCTCGCTCTTGAAACTAGTTAACCGGATTTTACAAGTTTATGAGTGACCGCTTTGAATTGGTTGCTTTTGTTCCCAAAGAAACGTCCCTCCAAATGGACGATACTCCTCTGCCTTTACCTCTTGAATCGTGTAAACACTATTGCCCCCCCCCCCCCCCCCGGCGGTCGGCTCCTCGCGGCGGGCAGCTACTCCTGGCTTTTCCCTCCCTGCAGTGAGGAGAGAGGTCGCCGCAGGCAATCTGCTGTCGGCCTGTGGCGAGATCCTCCGACCACGAAAATGACGCGTTCCAGGCATTCTGGGAATTGTTTAGTCTTCTGTGGGTCTGACCCTTCTAATGCAGCTCTCTTCTCAAAGAAAACAATGCCGTTGCGTGGGCTGCATCTGAACACCGAGCCGAGCGGGCGGCTGAGAAAACATCAACAGGAGCCTATGCGGGAGGGTGGAGATGATCAGCAGACGGGAATCTAACGTGTAATTAGACGGGTCACGGTAGAAGCAGAGGTGAGGGCCGCGCTTGCAGGGAGGAGTGTGTCAGACGGCGACCCAGCGGCAGAACAGCCTGATTGCACAACGCCGTGTATATTTTCAACATCTCCGGAGGAGCCGAGCCACAGAGCAAACGGGGGAGGGGGAGGGCCTGAATTAGATGCACTACATCTGGAAATGATATGACAATGGAGTGAATTGAGCGTGGTTGTCATGGTTGCCGTTTCCCTTTTGAGGTCCTGGAGTTTTCACTCTGGGCTTTTCACTCTCGCTGTTGTGTTGCCTCGAGCGAACGAGGCTCAGCCAATCAGCGCAGCGACGGCGCGTGGCTCATTTTCGCCGAAGAGCGGGAAGCGCGCGACGCGACGGGGTGGTGTTTTTCTAAGATGTGATGCGGGTGAAAGATCGTGGCACGATTTAGGCTGTAAGTGCACTGGTCAAGTCTCGCCAGTAAGAAAGTGATCAACCTCAGAGCTCCAATAGTGTTTAACTGTCTAATCGTTGCAGATTGTAACCATGTGCCATCCGACCAGTGAAGATTCTGCGGGGGGCAGAGGGGCTCCGCTGGAGCTGACCTGGCGACGTTCTGGTCAGAGCGTTGAGCTGCTGCTTTCTTCCATTGGTGAAGACTGGGTTCTTTGGTTGGGTCATTTGGTTTTTGTAACAAAGACGTTCTCGTTCAATCGGATGCGCGCGGTGTCGCTCATCTCATCTAATGAAAGGTGAACGGCATATTTCCACGATCTACATTTTACTTCTGAACTCTTGATGCACACGAGGATATCTGGTCTGAATCAGTGCGCGGTCAAGATGAAGCTTTGACGCTTTGGCGCGGTGTTCCTCAGGTTGCATTATGAAAAGCTTTTCACAATAAAAGCATCTGGGACCTGAAAAACGTGTTTTTTTTAAATGTGCTATACATTTAGCTTGCGTGTTGTTTTCTTACGTTAGAGGTTCTTCAGGCTGACATAACATCGGACCACCTAAGGAGCCAGAACATTCGGCTTGTAGGTTCAAGTGTTTTATCTGGCTGCTAACCAGTTTTCACACACGCACCCTCAGACCACCATTGTTTTTACTCACGTGGGTCAAATTGGGCTGCAGAATGTAGCGGCGAGACAGTTCGCAATTTCTTTAGAAATATACCACACAGTGTGATGCACGATGTCGGAAAGGAGGAAGCTGTGAAACTGAGAGGTGTCAGACCTCTAGGAAGTGAATTACCCATCTAGCAACACGGATAAGAGAAAGAGGAAGTAGAAAAGGTTGCACATTCTGAGCACTAAATTATGTCCCCGTACAATTGCGATGCACAATTTTCTGCTAGATTACGTCCGATTATGGAAACAAGTGGAAGGATTGCAAACAAGTTAGTAAATACTACACAACTAGCTCGTTGTCTAGAAGAAAAAAAAGAACAAAGAGACCTGTCCTGCATCTAAAACATACTGCCGAGCTCGGTGAAGTGAATCACACCGCCGCAGGTCTCGTCTCCGACGGCGTCCTCGCTGCAGAGCAGAGCGGGGCCTCCAGCTTTGACCCACCACGCCACTTCAGCTCTGGGAGACAAGTGGAGCAGAGCAGATGCTTTAAAAACAACCCGCCCTTCCTCCCCTGCCAGTCCTCCTCTTCAGAAAAACAAAAAACACACACTGACAATACAATTCCAGCATCAGCTAAATATCAAACATGGCCCTTGAAGCGGTGCGGAGGAGCTGGACTGTGCAGGATGTTCCACGGAGAGGTTGTGGTTGTGGGAGACGTTGGATGGAGCCAGAAGCCCTTCATACTGGTAAGTGAAGGCAGATGAGGGTGTCGCGCCCTCCTCCTCCAGACCTCCCACTTTCACTCCCCCGACCACAAGCAGTTAAACCCCACCAGTTCCCATTAACGGCGCTGCTAATGTGGTCCTGCTGATTAGATGTCACTCGGTGGGAAGTCTTCATTCTTTTTCCTTTGTGCAAGAAAACAGAAGTTGTTATGATAATATGGTGCAGCCGTCGTGATTGAAAACCGAGACCAAAGCAAACGTTGAATCCTCCTTCCAATTTACCGTGTAATCCAATTGTTGAGCACTCAGCCTCTTCGAAGGTCCCTCAACTCCCAATTCTCACCAGTGTGCTCACCGCCTTGCCAAACGTCTTCCACTGCTTGTACCAGCGGGCCACCCAGTGGACGTAAACAGCACCGCTCCCACCCTCTTCCTATGACTGCCTTTGGAAATGTCTTATAGGGACAGTCGTTGACGCCCAACGGGAGCCATTCAACAGTCATCAAGACTGCTGCTGGCTTCAAAGATTGTACACTTTCTTTGACTTGTTAGACAGTAGCATGTATGTTTCCACCAGAGTCTCAAATCAGTGAATGACAGTGTAACGCCATCGCCTTCTTCTCCTCTCGGCTCCTCTTTTTTTGGCAGTCTGTGGCACCTTTCCACCGGCTGACCTCCACATAGAACACTTATCTGTGCAGGCTGAATAACTGAGATTTCAGGCAGCAGAGAGAACATCAGACGTTCTGCTACTAGCTGCTGAATCGATGCTCTACCACAGCTATGAAGCTCTTCTTCTAACCCCGAGGTTCACTTTCCTCCCTTCCATCGCTTGTTTGTTGGCCAGCAGCTGCCACCATCTATACACACATGGGCTTTTTGCTCTGCCTTTCATACTCATTGGTTCCAATGGGTGATAATGTTTAAGGATTCAAAATTAAAAGGAAAAAGAAGCAGCTTTCTTTGGAGGTATTTTCAAACAGTACATAACAAGGTTAATTGGTGTGTTTTGGGCATTGAGGTAAATTGACAACTTGTTAAGACCAATCTGCCCCCTGCTGGTAAAAAGATGCAACAACAGAACAATCCCAGAATATACAGCATGCTTAATCTCTTACTCATTGACACTAAATCTACAGATATTCTCCCCAGTTATTCCCAGTAACCCGGTATTGAGAATATTGCATCAAATCTTTTGGGCGGGCTATTGTCCGTTTTATTGGACTGACTTCAAATGTGCACTGGAGATGAAGTGTGTGTTGCGTGTGCAACATTTACAGTTGCTTCTGTAACCTCTTAAAAAGACCTCCAAATTGTACCTGACGTACCATGAACGCCGTCCGGCAGGTCCCAGCTCGAGGTGAGGACGTTCACTCTCAGCCCGGCCTCCTCTGTTCTTAGCATGACATTTAAATCCCCGCGGCTGGAGAACGTAGCGCGGCCAAAAGAGCTGGAAGACCAAACCCGGCGCTGATCCAGCTCTGGCCTCCACGCGGTCCGTCCGTGGCTGAAGTGACCTTCCCACCGTGAGAAGACTTCTCTCACATTCTATCTTTTGGATGCAAACTATAATTTCTCGTTGCCGTGGACCCTGGACAGCGATGTTCTCTCATCCTGATGAGAGGCCTCCGGGCTCAATGACTTCATGCAATTCTGTTATATCAGTAGATTATGGATGGGGTGAAATAGTCTAAGACCACTTCATTTGCTTTGATGTCAAGCAGCTTGCTTTGTATCAATCTGTCTAGCTCTGTTGTCACAGATGGTCATTTTTATCTGCAGTTAATGCCCCCCAGCTGTCAATCATTAGTCCATAGCCACAGTTTGGATGCATAGATTTGTTCAAATTAATTTAAGTCTGCTCTGCATCACCCTTATTGAGAGTGAAGGCTGTTTTTTTAAGCCTTATCTGGATATAATTGTAGTATTGAGGATGAACAGTAAGTAAGAAAGGGCTGTTTTGTTCTTTGTAGAAATCAATAATCGATACGGATCAGTAGGTAAGCTGTGTCTATCAAACATAATGATGGAAAAACTCGGGAAGGTCATGTGCTGTGTGTTTACGCGGTCCTTAAGAATAAGAGCTTGAAGACCCCGGTTGAACAAATGCTGCATAAATATATCTGTGGTTTCCATAACAACACGACCTGGTCGAGGTAAACTACACGCTCATCCACTGTCCAAACTCCGGGTCCCCGAGGCGAACATGTGATCGCCAGCCGGGCGAGGAAGAAAGGTACATGTGATGAAGCGTGGTGGGAAAGCGAAGGCGACGGGTCCTCTCCTTCCTTTCTGTCCCTCCTCTCCTCTCCTCTCCAGACGGGGTTGGGCCAAACAGCAGGTGGTGCACAAGAGAAGCCCGGACAAGAGATTTCAAAATCTCCTCCTCTCACTCTCACTCTGCACAAGCATGGAGGCACAAAGAATCCCAAATTCTACAAAGTAAGTGCTGGTTTTCACATATTTTCTAGTATTTGTGGTTTCGGAATATGTGGTTTACATCGTTTCCAATGTTAAGGGAAAGAACAGTTGGCAATAATATTGTAGGTAATAACTAAACGGTGTTTGGTTTGATTGTGAATGGTTTATTATTTGTGTCTTTGGAATCGTGTTGAAAGTTGTGCGTTGTGAGTTCTATATCTGGCTCCATTACCTGTCTGAAGTGGTTTTAGCCTCTGAGAGAAACAGTCTCTCGTTTCACTGACTCGGGTAGAAAAGGATAAGATCGAAACAAGGTCGAAACCAAAGAACTGTTTCAAAACTAACTTAAATTAGAACAATATACCAACAAAATCATTTCTCTGAATAGTTTATATTGTATTCTATAATTATGTGATAAAAAATTGAATTGTGTGAGCTTAGTGGAGGTTTTGAACGCCCCTGAAATAAAAAAAGCTGGATGCTATTAATGTTCTGATTAATGTTGTGATCATGACTATTTAAAAACCACGATAAAAAGAATGTTTGAAGACCTCCAGCCAATCCATGACTTTTGCTTTGATATGCATTCGTGTGCTGAGTTATGAAGACGACTATTGATAAGAATGCATTAATATTGCAGAAGGTCTCCTCTTAAAACCCAAAGACTGTGATGCCAAAGGCATGTTAAACAGAAAACAGGCCTTGTAGCACCGGAGAAAGCTTTTGGGCCTGAAAATCATCCACCACAGAAGAGGACTGTTTATGTAGAAACATCTTTGCATCATATACATTCAGAACTGAGTGCGATGTCGCCAACTGGACCCCTAAAAGCACAGAGGTTCGTTAAATCACAAATATGTTTCCATTTCACCAATTAAAAGTCATTGAGTCCGTGCAAACCGGCTCGAGTGATTTCAATGCATCTGTTTAAGCCCACATCTTGAATGTTAATGTGCTTACTTTGTTGTCTGCAATCCGTTTGGACCTCCGTCTTCACCGCGGACCTGATTCACCGTGACACTCGATCTTATGCTGTTTAAAAAAAATTGCAAAAAAAAAAAGTGCTATTCATCGCAGTCATTCTCATTTCACTGCGCACACATTTGCTTCTTTTTCCAAGTCTGCGCTCCTAATCGCGTTTAATGTTCTCGTGTTCCTCCTCACAGCTCGGGTGTCACAGCAGCGGCGTCTCCGGCCGAGGCGCTCTGAATAAAGATGCCCATGGACTTGGACGGACAAATCCGATGACTCAAAAGAAGAGAAAGAAGTCCAGCCTCTGATCTCAGGACGGCCGTTTGTGATGACGTGAGTCCTCGGGTTGCACAGAGCCTCCAGAGTCATGGAGGTGCTTCTGTTTGGTGTTGGGGACCTTTTGGTAGATGGACCTTGACGTCAACATGAGGTCAAAGAAACTCTAACCGGTTTTGTTCCGCTCACCTGGCTTCTGTCAGCATGCCAACGCAGCATAGATGACTCTCCCTTCAAAGAGACATCCCTTGGAACTGACATCGTCTAACCATGTAGCGGCTGCAGGGGACTTACGTGTGTCCCGCCACTCAAGACGGTCCAAAAACAGTCAGCATGGAAGTGCAAACCACCGCTCTGGTCTGGATATATGTTAACGGTACGGACCAACTGACCACCTCGAATGATAACGACACGACGGAATTGACCGAAGACTCAGAGAAATACCGATCTTATGTTGTTGGTCTCTTCCTGTCCTGCCTCTACACCATCCTGCTCTTTCCTATTGGATTCATTGGTAACATCTTAATCCTGGTGGTCAACCTGAACCACAGAGAGAAGATGACCATCCCCGACCTATATTTCGTCAACCTGGCTCTAGCCGACCTCATCCTGGTGGCAGACTCCCTCATCGAGGTCTTCAATCTGAACGAGAAATATTACGACTACGCTGTCCTCTGCACCTTCATGTCCCTGTTCCTGCAGGTCAACATGTACAGCAGCATCTTCTTCCTCACCTGGATGAGCTTTGACCGATACGTCGCCTTGGCCAGCTCCATAAGCAGCCGCCCGCTGAGGACCATGCAGCACGCCAAGCTCAGCTGTGGCCTCATCTGGATGGCCTCCATCCTGGCCACCCTGCTGCCCTTCACCATCGTGCAGACCCAGCACCGGGGCGAGGTGCACTTCTGCTTCGCCAACGTCTTTGAGATCCAGTGGCTGGAGGTCACCATTGGCTTCTTGGTGCCCTTCTCCATCATTGGCCTGTGCTACTCTCTGATCGGGCGAATCCTCATGAGGGCCCAGAAGCACCGCGGGTTGTGGCCACGGCGGCAGAAGGCCCTGCGCATGATCGTGGCCGTGGTTCTGGTGTTCTTCATCTGCTGGCTGCCGGAGAACGTGTTCATCAGCATCCAGCTGCTCCAGGGCACGGCTGACCCGTCGCAGCGGACCGCTACCACCCTGTGGCACGACTACCCGCTCACGGGACACATTGTCAACCTGGCGGCTTTCTCCAACAGCTGCCTCAACCCCATTATCTACAGCTTTCTAGGAGAGACCTTCAGGGACAAGCTGCGCCTCTTCATCAAGCAGAAGGCCAGCTGGTCGGTGGTGAACCGCTTCTGCCACCACGGCCTGGATTTACACCTCTCTGTCAGGGGCGAAGTGTCCGAGGTGTGACTGAGGGAAGAGGGAATCGATTGTCAAACTAAGGCCACAGAGCATGTTAAATCAATCGTGACTTTAGCTTTTTTTTCACCTGTTAGCTCGTCTCACAGTTGGAAAGATTCACTTCACTTTATGAAGAATAACACAAAAGTCACAGAGAATTCAGACTTGTCGAAGGATGAAAAATGACATAAGGTTCCTTTTATGGAGCCGACAATGCACATTGCTTTCAGATATTCATGTTTATCTGCATGTTGGATTGTTTCCTTTAAGTCTATTTGATGTGTTATTTCTTCAAAACGTTACTTCGCTGGCAAAGCAACAGTGAATGAAATGACAGTTTGTGGCAAAACGAGACGAGTTTCAGAGGAGACGATTCTTTGTTTGAGATGGATAATAGTGAAGTTTAAAGCCACATATAATATCACCTGGTTTATGTGTGAAGGAAAACATGCATATATCGGGAGACTGCCCCACACCGACCATCCCCATCAACATCACCGTGACATCACCATGACATCACATGACATCACATGACCAAAGGACCGCTCTCATCTGTCTATAGAAACCGAACATGAAACAAATGTGAAAACAGTTCGGGACGTACACCGTTTTTTTATAACGAGAGTTCGGAAAATGACATAAGTTAATAAATATGTGCTAATTCCTGGAGGAAAAGTCCAACAACATTGGATAAAGCCAGGTGCAAAATTCTAGAAAACACAAACATTTTTGTTTGCCATGTGTTTGTATGTAAAATGTTCCATAAATCAGGCAGTGAAGGATATATGAACAAAATGACTGACACAGGAGTGGAACTGGAAGGTTCGGTGTATGTAAGTGTTACCAAAGATTTCTGAGAAGAATCTCATTTAGGGAAAACAGCTTTTAAAGATATGCGTTGCTAAATTACATACGTTCTGATATATGATATGACATATGATTCATATTTAAATATGCAAATGAGGCATTATCCGATACTAATGTTTGTGGAATTTAGGAGACACCAATAACATAAACACTTAAATGTGAATTTTCAATTATTTCTTTCCTCTAGTCTGAAAGGAGACCACAACCACAACCTCTCCACGGAAAATTGATTTGTGCATCAACAAGTTCTTTTCCTTCTGTTGAATAAAAGTGGCCTTATGTACAGCATAACATTCGTCGGACCGTGCAAACCAATGTGTTCTTTTTGTAGAAATAAATAAAATGTCTGACTTCTCCAGGAGTATAAAGTGGAAGTTGTCGAGTATTGTTTTTCAACAAGACCCAACTACATTTAAAATAAACCTGGCTTGTGTCGTGCACGAATGTATTCACATGTTGTTAAATTGGACGTTTTTTTTTTTTTTTAACTCAGGCACACTATCTGTGCAATTAAGGACATGAAATGTGAGATTAATCTCCCAAATCAGCTGTCTTAGCTCCATAGATCGTGTTTAGTGTAGGGAATCGGCGAGCGGCGCTCTCAAAGACGGCTGTGCTGCTGCCCCGCTCGCCGGGTCCTGTCAGGCTGCTGATGGGAAAGCAAAGAGGCAGGTGTTGTTCAGGAGGAGACGAGACCAACACATCATTCGTTTGTGACAACGCAAAGCTGCCGCGATCACGTCGGTAGCACACGTCACACCGCGTCACTGCTGCTCATCACACGTTCCCACCTAAACCTCTAAACCATCCACCACAAATACATCTGCACACTTCTGGCTGGCTTTTCTGCCTGTGAATGGAATTCATTCATTTTTTATTCAGTTAACATGGACGCGATGCGACAGACAAAAGGCCGGATGCTCTTAAAGAGTGATCACCTACAGTTTTATTTTTTTTACAAGGCTTTTGACAGAAGGAAGATGCTCATTAAAACATTGGTCGCAGGTTAATGGGATGCAGATTGCCGGGCAGCTGCAGTTTAAACATTTCAAATTGATCCCATCAGAGGCTTAATAGGATGAATAGTCGGCTTAATAATGAAACCTGCCGCTGGGTTTTACACCCTCAAATTGTGTGTTGATCCGTCACAGCAGACGTTATAAGTTGATACTGCACTGCCTTCTTAAATTCAATTGAATAATACGAGATGTAACAGGGTTTACATAATATAACTCACAAATTATGAATGCTAAAGCGCCGACGTAGCAACGACAGAGTACCGGTAACTCACAGCGACGGGTCGAGGATTGTACATCAACATATCAAATCTTTGTACTGCCAGCCTGGGTCAGGCTAGCGGGGTCCGGACGAGTCTGGGGGGGTCTGGGGAGGTCTGGGGGGGGCTGAGCAGTGTTTGTGCATGAGGCAGCCAGAGATAACGGCGTAACTGGGAAAAACAGGAGTCCAAACCACAAACTGTTATTCCAGCTGTAACAGTCCAGCAGCCTGGGAAAGCTGCTGCACTGGTTGTTTATTGTCTGCAAAAATGTTTAACTTGTTGTGGTACATGGTGGTAAATATGTGTTTGCATGGTCTTCCCATTACACTATGTCCTGTGTTCTAGACTCTTGTCCTGCAAGAAAGCAAACAGGTCTAAGGTCTTTTAAACCATTATGAGTTTAGGTATATATATTGTGATTGTGAATGTTGATTTAGTATAAAGACTTGTATTCTTCTGTAAACAACACAGGGTTCTAGCAGAGCCACAGAGGGCAGGAAGACAGGAAGACAGGGATGTAATAATCCAATGAGAGCTGTCAAGTTCACTGAGATAAATAAGCCACACCTAGACACAACAAATCATCTTTACATCACACAGACACACACACATTGGAGATGCTGTGAGAAGAGGCTGACAGTGGACTGTGTGCACAGCTGAGGCTGCTGAGTGAGGTCAAAGGTTTGTGCTCATGACGTCACAGAAAGGAGAATGGGTGTGACTTTTCATGACTTAATACTTCCTCTGGACGATGCTGGATTAAACGATGAGTTTGTGAGCAAAACATCTAAAATTGTTACAATATGTTTATGTTATTGTGCAGGACGGATTACAGTTTGTAGATCACGCAGACAGACGATGATGATGATGATGTGATCTTGAGACGAATCCCAGCACTTTTTATTTACTAAATTGAAAGAGATTTATGTAATTTTATTTCCCTCATTGTACCTCTACTAATGTTGCTCAGTGAAAACCGGTTGCTATACAGTTCATTGGGTGCCAAACATGTGATGTACGAAGAGAAATAAGCTTTTTTTTAACATTTAGTTTCTGATTAGAGGTGTTGATTCGACTCTACGGTGGTTTTAGGTTTTGTGTTTCACTGGCTCATATTATGTTTAAACATGTTTCTAATATTTTGCGCTCTTTCTGAATATCGATGAGTCTGGACCAAACACTGGAAAAAAAACATTACAATACAGCTCAGTTAAGTCCAAATTTAATCCACACCTTTCTGATTGCAGTAAAGTGCTGCAGAAAGCAAAGCAAGCTAAATATATTCCACACAAAGGTGAGCACGGTTAAAATACGTCCCGTATAAAAAGCTACGGGACCCTGTGCATCTGTAAGTTTGGGGGAGGGGCATTTAAAAGTAATTAGAACAGTCCTAGGTTTTGCATAATTATTAGACAGTGCACTCGCTGGACCTCAGCAGCTGAATAATGGATTCGGGGTATAATTGCATTTGTAAATTTAAATCCTGACAAAGGAGCTGAATAGAGCGGATTAGCTTCCCAGATGCAGAAGAAAAGAGGAATGGATTGGAGTTTGACACGCTGCAGGCAGACCCCATACATTCCTTTTGTTGAACATTAAATGAACCGAAAACAAATCAAAATGATTGTTTGCAGAACAAATTCTGTAAATTCACACTAAAGGCAGGTGGTGATGTTGTTTTAAATAATCTGAATTTATTGTAGTGCATGTATGCATCAAAAAACTTTTTCTCTTGCAAACTCTTGTAGTGTATGAATGTGTTATATTGCTTTAAAACATTATTCATCTTTTGTTCCACGAAAAAAAAGCTGTTAATGAATAACACAGACTATGAAATAATGTGACATGAATATGGGGCTGTCAATATATGAATTAGAACAAGTGATTTAGTTCTTTAGATGATGAAGGGGGAGGGGGGGGCATCAGTGACATTTCGTCGTGTATTACATTCAAGAGCGGAGTCGACAATCTCAAATACTAATACTCTTCTTCTCCTTTTTAATGGGTAGACAATTGAGAATAACGACGGAAGAAATACTGATTTTTTAAAAATAAGGGGGCTATATTTGTAACTGTTTTTGTAATTATTACAGTTATTTCACTTATGTTCACAGCATGTTTATCAAAGTAAATAAAGGAATCGGTCACACCCCCTTTCCTCCGCCCCGCCCCCCCCGCGTCAGTGTGCGCGGGCTCGCAGGCGGACTTGCGCGCAGACGAGCAACAGATCTGCGCGCATGCGCAGTCCATTGTTTTGACTGAAAATGCCGTCGGTTTCGAAAACGGCGGCCAACGCGTCCCCTCAAACCGAGAAACCGACCCACTATACGTGAGTAAAGCCGCGACGCGGAAAGCGCCGCGTCGCCCGTTGCGAAGAGGGCTCACTTGCACGTGCGCGCGTGCGCATCGCTCGCATTCCTCAACTCTCGCGCGTGCGGTCGAAACATGGTGCTTTTTTTTTTCCAGGCATTGTGACTCCCGAACGTCACTTAGCAAAACAACGACTGCGACGAGGAGCGACAGCAGCGCGGGCGCAGGAAACGCGGACGCCTTTAACCGACTTGAATCACCAACGCGGGGGGGAAAAACGCGGGCGTTTTAGCGAGTTGTGCGGTTGTTTTAAGTGTCCCTCGAACGCAAGGCTCGCTAAATGTTTTAGCCAGGAACTCGCTCGTAAATAGCTCGGCCTTATTTTGAGTCGCCCCCTCCTCCCTCCTCCTCGCTACGCACATTTATAGGCGTACGCCGCGGGACCTTCAACCGGCGTAAGGCAGGAAAACTTGCGTAGTTTACTTTGTGAATGGCAAACTAACGCCAGTGACCCAAAACAGACACACACACACACACAGCGGGCTGCAACACCAGCCACACAACACGACGCTTTAAACGGTCAAAACCCGCTTCGTCATTCTACATTTGGTTGTTGTTGTTGTTAATAATAATAATAATAATTTAATGCAGATACTTGAAGGAGTTCCGCACGGAGCAGTGCCCGTTGTTCCTCCAGCACAAGTGCACGCAGCACCGACCCTTCACGTGCTTCCACTGGCACTTCCTCAACCAGCGGAGGAGGCGACCCATCCGGAGGAGAGACGGGACCTTCAACTACAGCCCCGACGTGTACTGCACCAAGTACGACGAGACCACCGGCATCTGCCCCGATGGAGACGAGTGAGTCGCCGAGCCGCGGAGGAGTTTAAGTTAAACTAAAGCCACAAAAGGACACTTGACATTTCACCAGGTGGAGAGGTGGTAGTGTGTCCCTTCTTAACATGCACTCGACGGGCGGTGTGCATTTGGGGAAGTGTCGTTTGTCGTCTTATGTATGGTGAGACCTGAGAGGAAGTGCGTGTTTTTTGCATGTCTCTCTATCTGTTATAGATTGATGATCATCAGGGAAAAAGTTTAACCAGCTTGCTTTAAAGGTGGCAAGATCTGTGTAGAGGTGTGATCCGAAAGGTGTGATGTTGTCGCAGATGTTGTCGATATGGTACATTTGAGGTATTGCGACATGTGTGGTTCCGTCGTGCACGTGGAGTACTTGGGCTGAACTCTCACTTTGTGTGACCAGACTTCACCTCTGGGCCTCAAGCATTCTGCTGCTGCTGCTATTGTTTTCAGCTAAAGTAACACGTGTCCCCAGCTTGAAGGCTTCAAAACCGATCAGTTCCCAGTTAGTTTTATTGTGCTGTACGTGGCACCATGTGGTGTCCAGTTTTATTATAGTTTGTCACCCTGGTGTATTATCATACAAAGTCACCACGCGCTCCAGTTTCACAGTAACCAGATCTGTGTGTTCTCAAAATGGGCGGCGTGACTGGGAATTAAATGATTGGAATTACATTTAATTGAGTCCCACATAGAAATGCAATAATTAAACTAATGGGAAATGAACCACTGCTATTTCTTCCAAATCATCTTCTAGCGGCAGCTATTTTTGTACGACTCTGTGTTGCCATAGCAACTTTTGCTTGCTACTCTGTTTTAGTTTATTCAAGGGGCTTTTCGTCCTTGCGTTTCTAGAAGGGTTGCTGTGATTTTCATATTGTCGATTAAAATGAGTGTGCAACTATAAAAATATTTTGAATCCTCCTTTGTTCAGACCACGTTTTACCTCTTCAGTGCATCACTTTGCCTGCACAAGCATTTTAGAGTTGTACTCTGCAATTATATCCTGGAACATTGTGTGTTTGTTTCACATTCACTTTATTATTTTATTATCTCTTTTCTCTTTTATTGTCTCTCAGCTGTCCTTATCTACACCGGACAACTGGTGACACAGAGCGCAAGTACCATCTCCGCTACTACAAGACTGGCACTTGTATCCACGAGACGGATGCTCGAGGGCATTGTGTGAAGAATGGACTACACTGTGCTTTCGCTCACGGGCCACATGACCTCCGACCTCCAGTCTACGACATCAGGTGACGTGCAAAGGAAACGGTGCCCTCTCCTTTCCTGACGTTTGGTTTCTAAATGTATAGTTATTACATTATCTTTCTTGGCTTTCGTCTTGCGTTTTTATGGATGAATTAAATCACCATTGCATATGCGGTTACACCTGCAAATAACTAGCGTTACCAGTGGTCTTAAGATGCCACTTTTATCTGTATTTGTAATAACAATATGCCATTATTTGAATTGTAAATAACAATTAAGTGAATCTTGTGTGCACAGAGAGATTCAAGCACAAGAGGCCCTTCAAAATGGGCAGTTGGGATCTGGGGAAGGTATCCCAGATCTGCAGCCCGGTGTGTTAGCCAGCCAAGCTATGATTGAGAAGACTCTGACCGAAGACCCCCGGTGGCAAGGTGAGCGCGCCGCGCCTCCGCGATAACGGCCTCCTGCAACGCCGCGAAACAAACGAGCATTAACGCACTCTGTGGCCTTTTTTTCCAGATACCAACTTTGTTTTAGCCAACTACAAAACGGATCAGTGTACGAAGCCCCCGAGGCTTTGCAGACAGGGCTACGCGTGCCCCCACTACCACAACAGCAGAGATCGAAGAAGAAACCCCAGGAAGTTTAAGTACCGGTAAGATTCTACTTCAAGTGCGAATAACGGATCGTATGACGTTGTGCTACTGTAGCGGGTGAAGGACTCTCAACTCTTGTGAACTCAGGTCGACTCCTTGTCCCAACGTGAAGCACGGGGACGAATGGGGCGAACCCTCAAAGTGTGAAAGTGGAGACTGTTGTCAGTATTGTCACTCTCGTACTGAACAGCAGTTTCACCCTGAGGTAAGGGGATTTAGTTTTTACACAAGTTGAACAGGTCACAGCTTTAATTATAACACCCAAGCTTTAAACTGACTGGTTACCAAAACAGACAAAATAAATATAATGTGTAACGGTAGACAAGATTTCTTTCTTATTGTCTTGTGTTTTTTTTTTTTTCTCAAGATCTACAAATCTACCAAATGCAACGACATGCGGCAAACCGGCTACTGTCCCAGAGGACCGTTCTGTGCGTTCGCACACGTAGAAAGTAAGTGAAAGTTTGTCCAAATACGGTTTCAGTGGGAATCATCAGTCTGCTGAGCCCTGAAGCGATATCACTTGATTACAAACCCGCGTGTGTGTGTGTGTGTGTGTGTGTGTGTGTGTGTGTGTGTGTGTGTGTGTGTGTGTGTGTGTGTGTGTGTGTGTGTGTGTGTGTGTGTGTGTGTGTGTGTGTGTGTGTGATTCCTTGCTGCACACTACATACATGTAATGTGCACTTGAATGCTTGCAGGAATCCCCTCCACAGAAGAGACCATGAGCTCACTGCTCACAGTGATTCAGTCCGGCTCGCAGCCGTATTCAGAGGGTCCAGTGAGCGAGTGGAACAGCGGAGGAAACTCCGCCACCAGCAGCAACGGACGTGTAAGTAGGAAGTGTATGTCGTCCAACATATTACCAACATGTATCCACATCAACTGCGCAGATGTTATTGAGCTTCCCAGATGCGCACTCGTCCACATATTGTTTCTCATTTTTTCGGTTGGCATGTTTTTTTAAAATATATATATATATATATTTACTTTAGTTTGTCATTGCTGATATTTCCTTTGCTGTTTTACGTTTCATTACCGAAGCTGCAATTTTTTGCTATTTAAGATTACAAATAATTTATTGTTACATTCTCAACCTTAGAATCTTTAGTCTGATCAGAAGGACGCTTGCATCTTTATTTTGATCATGACTTTATTAAGCTCATGTGCACTTCCCTCTCTCTGGTTTCACATTCTAATCGCTCGGGAAGCGACAGTTTGTTGTCCATCAGCAGGCCCAAATCTAGTGCTAGTTTATGTTCAGAGTTCAACACGTCCAGTGTGTCATCTCTGACGTCTAACTGTCCCAGAGCCTTTGAACCTGAGGACCAGGTACACAGAAGCTAATCGTAGGGCTGCTAATGTATCGTTGGCATTGATTTTTGAATTATTGTTTTATTTCACATTCATGTCATTCTGATTGGATCACTATGAGACATTTAATCCACCAGTCGCTTTGTTTTCTTTATTAGTATATATTTACTTAAGAGTAAAGATATTAGATATTACAGAAGAATGCAGCCTATTTAAAGCAGAATATGTCTCTTTAGTACGGTAATCAAAGGCGGTGCTTCATAATACATTTTCACATGTCTGATTCTCATCTGCTGTAACTCATAATTCATCACCGCTACTATAAAGTATCCAACGCTGCTCTCGAGCACAACATGAAGTACCAGTTAGCTCCACTGGGTAAAGGAAACCCTGTTTGGAGAGCAAAATATCTATTTTATTTACTTTGTGGCTTCATCAGTTTACATTGTAGATGTTCAGAGATCATTGAAATGTGCTGTTTCTGTGTTCGAACACTTTTAGATCAAAAACAAGGGGCTGGTGGATCACAAATTAATAGACCAAGAAAAACAGGTTTGTTCTTTTAATTTGGTGATGAATTAATGATATTACATAATAAATGACAGATTGACTTTAATTGGAAATCAAACCAATTCCTTCCAGACACAGAATCCTCTATTCTCTGCGGTGAACCCTTTGGCATCCAGCTTTACCTCCAGCATCACCTCCAGCTTGGCCTCCAGCGTCGGCTCAGACAGTTCTTCACCCACCACCTTATCAACGATGAATGCAAAAGCCACTCCGTTCTATCCGGGGAGCAACACCGTGGAGTCTGTCATAGGTGAGCCAGGTCGCCTGTGAACCCGTCAGATTCCGCTTTTCTGTGGTCAAATGACAGCTTGACGTATCGCCTTTTCTCCCCCTCAGGATCCGCTTTGGACCTCAACTTCAGTGACATTAATGTCGCCTCCCTCGATAAGGAGTTAGAGGAGCAAGACAGCAGCGTGGGACTCGCCAGTAAGGACGCCCAGTGCAAGTTCTCTCGGTGGCTCGAGCGGTCGGCCACAAACGGGCCCTCGCTGTAATAACTTGTCCTGTCCCCGCAGGTCAAAGGGCGCTCGGTGGCTCCGCCCCGGTCAACATTCCCGGCTCCTTGGCTCGATCGTCCTCCTTCAACTCCTCGTCATCGCTCTCCACCTCGCCGCTGAGCTCCCTCTCCCAGTCGCTGTCGCAGTCCCTGCTGTCCGCCGCCATATCGCACCAAAGTCAACCGTCAAACATGTTGGCCAAGCAGGAGCGCGGCCTCCTGGGAAACCCCGCCTCCTCTTCCCAGAATTCCTTGGGTAAGCTGGGTTTGAATTATCAGAGAGCTTATCAGAAAGTTTCCGTACCGCCGTTTTAACACCCACGTCCCCCCCCCCCCCCTCCCCCCAGGCTTGAATGGAGGGGCTGGCAGCATCTGGGACTTTGTGAGTGGCAGCTTTTCACCGAGTCCATCTCCAGTTTTCAGCAGCCTAACCCCCGCGACCAGCAGCGGCGATCTGGCCCGCCTCTTCAGAGACCTGGACGAGGCCAAACGGAAGATCAAACAGTGGGAGGAGGCCTGGCATCAGGTCAAACAAGTCAGTGCAATGCACACGTTTCTCATTCAGAGTGTCGGATGGATTTCCCCTTTTGCAAGAAGTTCTTCTTGTTTGGTTCCAGGCCTGTGAAGCTTGCCAGAAGGACGCTCACGAGGCAAAGGAGCAGGCGAAAGCCTCCGAGGCCGAGCGGCAGCTGGCGGAACAGAAGCGGGAGGAAACGGGGCGCAAGCTGAAGGAGCTCCAAGGGGACTTTGACGCGCTGTGTCGCGCCCCTGGAACACCTCTTCTCCGTAGCTATAGAGAGCTGGACAAGCTGCCCTTGTCAAAGCTACACTCCCTCCAGAGTCAGCTGCGTAGTGACCTAGACCTTGTAGACGGGGTAAGACGGACGAGATCACACACAGAATTCTCTTTGTAGCATCCTGGCTTTATCGTTATCACACCGACGTCAAGCATGCTCATTTGAAAAGTCTGCATGAAGTGTGTTTCCCTTCGTTTGCGGCTGATGTTCATTCTTTTCTTTCCCCAACAGGTAATATATCAGCTTCAGTCAAAGAAATGTATAGTTTGCCAAAAGCACGATCGCTGCGTTGTTCTGCAGCCGTGCCAACATTATGTGCTGTGTGAGAACTGTGCACCCAGTAAAACACAATGTCCCTGTTGTAGAACAAAGATATTGAAGTGGTGATGTACAAAAAGGTACTATTTAAGGATTTAGCCCTTTGAAAAACTACTCGACTAGACATTACACTTTGTACAGTGATTGAATTGATTTGGAACACAATGATGTTTAACTGAGACGGAAAATAGTATTATGAATCCGATTGTGTACTGAGGATTTAATCATTACACTTCTGGCTGCACATTAACCCGACTCGACCCGAATGGAACGGCAAACACTCAAAACAGAATATATTTTATTATCAGTCACTCTAACGAGCGCGCTTCTCGTGTCCAGCTATCAAAACAGCAGTTGCATTTTTCAGCGATACACTTTGACAACGCGACACATACTCATACTCATGCTCACACAGTAAAACAGCAAATGGGATTGATGAACTTTAGAAGGTTAAAAGTTGTACACTTAAAGAAATTAATGCGTATACGTTTGTGTTCTTCTTCCCTTGTGTTTGGATGTTAATGGTTTGGAAATCCTTTGGAATTATTGTGTATGAAACTCTGATCTGTCTACATTTAATGCACTTAAAAGTTCACCCGGAGAAAAATGGAAGGTTTTTCAAAAAGATACTAAAGAAATATGCATTTGAAAAGGTTTTTATAGATCGTATCATCACAGATTATTATATTTGAAGAACGAAATACAAGACGGAAAACCTACTCACTGTAACTTCATATTATATCTTAAGTGAAAAGTTCTAGTTTTAAAATTAGGTCTAAAAAAAATCTCCCGTGTCTTTCTCCTGCCGTAAGTCCTATGGTCATTTTTCACTTCGCTCTCTCTTTATGGAGCAAAACATTGTTAAGCCACAAATGACCTGAGACGCAGAGAAATCAATGTGTGAACATGCGAAACACACTGCCAGGAAATGTAACGTTCACTCGCTCTCTAATGTTCAAAAACATCCTCAAAGCAGATTTTCGTGAGTTAAAGAGGAATAAAATTAATCAAAGAATTCACTCGGGAGCTTTTAGAACCAAATCAAGAAACCAGATACCCCGAAACCGGAATGAGCCCGATGCTAAATGAGGAAGCGATGTTTCAGTCTGAACGTGCAGGATGAAAAGCGTGTGCTCGTACCTCTGGCGGAGCGCGCAGCTGCCAAAAGCAACGCGTGAAACGTGTCGATGAGCGACTTTGTTCCTCCACAAAGTGCTGGAACACGTTTAGAAGCTCCGAGGAACCAACACACACTCGCCCCCGAAACTATGGGGAGTAATTAAAGAAGAAAAACACATCTGCGGCCAAAGTATTACGCCACTATTATGCAGGTTGATCAAATATTTCACATTAAAAAGGGTATGAATGCTGAAGCACATCTGCGTCTGCATCAGGGGAGAAGAAAATCCCAGTAACCACGGAGACGAGAACCAGTAACACATCGTTGTGTTCCTCTTTAAGTAAAGCCACATTTTACATCATTCAGTTTGATTTGATATTAAAGCACTTTGTTGACCTGGGACTTTATTAAAGGGTATATAGAAATTTGCTTTAAGCTGCTTTGTAGGTATTCTTTTGATGTTTTTCTTCTTTTTTTTTTTCTTTTTTTTTTCAAGATTTATATATTTTTTCTATATAAGCTAATGTCTGAAGCTTTCGTGTGTACTGTGAAAAATAATTTGGATATTTCATGTTTCCTATTGTAAAATCATGGCATGGTTCTACATATTATTAAGATTTCATAGAAAAGTACTTGGTTTCTACTTTCATAGTTAGATTTATAAAATTTCAATCAAATAAGTGCAAATTTAAAATGTATTTTAGGCATAACCAGCAGCTGTACTATCGATATGCTACATGTGAGGCTGTAATTCAATCAGTTAGTTCTTTTTTTGTAGACATTTATATAGCCTATCGTATTATAAAAGCATGTGTTGTATTTGCTGAAAGCCTGAGATGGTGGATTTTGTAGGTATCGAGTCTCTTGACCTTGTCTAGAACATATCGGCCTCTTAACTCTAAAGTGCCTTGCCGTGGTTGAAAAGGTCGCGTGTAGAACTGTCCGCAGCGGAAGCTCATGCAAAGGCTTTCTGCGAAACGCGTCTTGTTCCACTTTGCAGAAACATTGTGTGTGTCAATAGATCCGTGTATGTATAAAAAAAATATGCCAGTGTATTTTATATGATCGAGTGTTTCTGTGGCGGATAAGTGAACACAAGCGTTGTCCCGACTTCGCGATGAACGCCCCCCTCCGCCCGACCCCTCCGCCCGCTCACCCCTCGGTCGTGGTGCTCTCTTGGTGCAGCTCGGTCTTTTGAAATTAGGTTTTTTCCAATTCCGCGTTTTTTGGAGTATGCAAAGAGGACGGACGCATTTCTATTGCAACGTGGCGTCTTTTCAGACGGTGACTTGTGTGACGTTTCTGCGGTCAATGAAGAATTGCGTAGTTGTAAATGGGACAGGACTTGTTCTGGGTTCCTCTAATTGAAAAGACCTTCTACTGTGTATTCAAAAACAAACAACCCTTTTTACTCTTGCGTTAAATTCAATAGAAAATCCTGTATCTCTTTTGCTACTTCTAAATATGGAAAAATGCCTCGTTTACACACATTAGATGACAATTAAGCAACTCAGAGGAAAATAATCCAGACTGGTTTTGGTATTTCAGCATTTATATGGTTTGTGACTTCATTGTATTGCAGCTTAAGGCGGGCTTGTCCTACGTCTGGTGTTGCATGTATGCGATATATTAACCAGCTACAACAACAAAAAAAAGGAGAAAAAAAGTTTGCACTGTCACACTGCCAGAATATTTGTATAGACTTATTTTCAGTGTAGTAAAGGCTCAATAACTTCTGCCAGCTTTGCTGCTACTGGAAAAGGTATTAATGTTTGATGTTTGAATGTTGTTGTGCATCCACAGCTCAGACTTCACAAACCTACGAAATAATCTCTCTTCTGCATCCAATCTCACTCGGTTGAATCATTGTAAATGTCGCTGAGACTGACGCCACCCCCGCCCCCCCGTTCCGCGTTTAGAGTTCAATTTAATGTGCACGTTGGTCGAACCACGATACCGATGTCTAGCGTGGGAATCTAACAGTCAACCAAAGTGGTGTTCAAGTAGCTCTCTGAATACAGGTGTTTCTAAGAGGAGACGGAAGCCCGGTCGGGGGACGGGGGGACGGGGGGGTCTCCGGGTGGGTTTTTGCTTGTATTTCCTCGTATGGAGGTGACAACAGGACTATGCCATTGACTTTTGCTTACAACATTATTCGTGGACGTGAGCCAATTCTTTGCAGTTTTACCAAAGACTTGAACTGTTACTTCTTTGTTGCTACATTTCGTCATTTGTTTTTATCTCAGTAAGAAACCCCAAGTTGATTTAAAAACCCTAATCACCTAGTACCTTAAATAGATAACGTTCATTGACAGCAATTAATGGCATCTTTTTCTATCTTAACTGAGCTGTAGTGAGTCGACGCAGAATTGATTTGAACTTCACGGAACGCGCGTTTGTGACTTTGCTTTGTGTTAATTCTACATTGACGTACATTGAGGTTTGTGCGGCGCGCTGGCGAGCACATGTGAGCATTCGGTCGGTATAAATGTCGTCTACAGTGAAGCAGTGTGTGCATCTGAAGTGGCCATAATCACCTTTTTTAGTTTGTTGATGGTTGTGCATTATATGCTGTTGTGAGGGGCCTGCAGCGACCGGAAGGGGCTCGGTGGTTTTTATTCCTCCAAGCGGTGGTCCAGTTGAGTTTTAGTTTTTGTAAAATGTCTGTGGACAGGTGATGATTGTGAGGAACATTAATGGCAGATACAGACATGATTAAAACAGATTTTTTTGTTGTTGTTCGTATGTTGTTGTCGGTCTCTCAAGTGGTCTACATGCCCCCAATTCAAGTGAAAAAAAAAGACCGAAATGGAACAAAAATCCCTTGATGAGCACAGCTTTCATTTCTTTAGATCTGTTGAATTGAATTCAAACGGCCCGGCGACTTTTTCAAGTACAACTGTGCCTTTTTTTTTATTATCGTTTTGATTGGCATGAAGACGATATGTCTCAGTGACACAGTGTTTGCTCTCAGTAAGATGGCAAAATGCAACATGCTTAATTAGAATCAAAATTCCAGTGCCTTACGCCATCTCTGTGGACCGCCGTGTGTTTGCTAAACGAGCCTCTAGATTAAGGAGGATTAAGGATCCCATAGAACGAGATCCGCTTTTATGAGCCACAAACGAGGACGCAGCGGTTCTAAATGACTGATGAGCGCCGGTCTCGGTCTGTATTTGCCATACCACTTTAAAAAAAAAAAAACTGCAATACTTAACCGTTGAATACACTATTTTGATCTCAATAAGTCATTTAGCACCAAAAAGTCGGTTGTTTGTAAGAAAAGCACCAAATAAGACTCGTGTAAATGAACTGTAGTAGATGAATCGTTACACTGCTTTGAATAGTTGAATCTATCTCGCGTTATTGTCAGTAGTTGTGTTGTCTTTTTGTTTTTAATATTATCAAAATGAAGCCTGACAATTTATGCAATCTTGTACATGTATATGATGATGTATGGAGCTTTTCAAATTAGGTAAAATACAGGTGTTGTCTAAAGTAAATGATCTGAATGTGGAACCAGTTGTTCCATACACTTAAGAAAGAATTTCAGTAGAAATGTTATTTTAACATTGAAGCCCTGAAATATTGAATGTATCGTTCTAAATTAGATATTAAATGAACAGTTCACTGGATATTGTGGAGCTCAGTTAATTCCTTTTGATGTAGCATCTAGTTGTGAATTGCTATTCAATAAAATGTATTAGTACTAAAACAAATGCAAGTTTTTCAAGTATATTTGTCAGGATAATAAGGAAATTAAGGAAAGAAATGTATTTTTCTAGGGTCGATGGTGATTTAATACATATTGTGTTAAATCTGAGGAAACTGCATTTCATGGATTGATTTACTGAACATCCGCTGGTTTAGAACTTATTTATAGATTAAACAATATGTCCCTTATTTTGTGATGAGCTGTATTGATATGTAGGAAACCTGATAATTGTAGGAATGATTCTGTTGGTATATTGATATTTTCTGTGTTTTAAACACACAATAGGTCCAAGTCTTAGAATACTAGATTTTTCTTTTCTACATTCAGGATTGTGTACAGAATATTTTCTGTAATGCATTATTAGTTTGTTGACACTTGTTAAATTGTTACACTACAGTTATGCAATGGTTTACAGAGTTCACAAAATTATTTTTATCATCGAGTATTAAAATAATTTTTCATCTGAAATGTGTCTTTTCTCTCAAACACAATCGAAGAAAGAAATCTGAGAATCCATGTAAACAATTTAAAATGTTTTTGTATTAAAATGGCGACACCAGAGGAAGCAGTTTTTTTATTAACTTTTACCTTACAGTTACTAAAATATTCCTACTATCTAAAACAAATCTGTCGTGAGCAGTTCAAGTATACATTTGATGTTTCAAGGCAGACAAACTGCCAACTAACGCGACCTTTGGCGCGCTTGTATTTGTGCACACGTTTGAACTTTATGGCACAATGGTGTCACATGTGATGCCTTGTCTCTCCGGATAAGTCATCAAACAGGTAGCGTATCAGTTGATTGGCCTGGAGGAGAAGACGCAACAAACAATGTGTCATGAGAATATAACAAATCCTAAGGCAGCATTACACTTTAACCATCATATTTATATTATACCTCTTTGTGGCACTAAATATTCTAAATGCATGGACAGAAATTTGACGTTTACCTTTCAAGAATCGAGTCAAAGTCGGTCACGATCGCGTCACCTTGCAGGGCCACAATGAGACACGGTGCCGTGCAAAGACGAGCAGTCTTTTAACGAAAACCAGAGACGAGAGGAAATCAACTCTGTCCGCGAGAAAGAATGACCTCACGTCAACGTACTACCAGGCCGAACTCCTCACCCTTTCCTTGCCTCTCGACGGCCCCTTCAGAGCCTCGGCGATGTGTTTGCGCTGCTCCTCGTCCAGGATGCTCATCCTACCTGCCACCAGATGGCAGCCTGACCTCAGCAGCTGCTCGAGCACCTCCAGCTGGGACGGCGCTGGAGCATTTAAGGGAATGAGCAGAAAGGTTGTCTGCCAGAGAGCGCTGTGTATCCCTGGTACCGAATAACAAGCAAGACGTGGTTCACAGAGTTTGCCTGGAACGGACTCACATTTCAACATCGCTCCAGAGTTCCTGCCAAAGTCACAATAAATGATTAAATAGTCAACACAAAAGAATTGTCTTCCCGCCAAAAGCAAACCAGACAAGCGGTCGTGACCTGTGTCGTGTCCCGATGCCCTTGAAGGTGAAGCCTTCCCCTGGTCCACCTGGGCCACTGTGCAGCTCCGTTCGCGCTCCGCACAGACCAACGGGTCCGAGCGCACGCTGAGTATCTTGACGGGAGACACCGAGCACAAAGGCTGGATGTTTGCCGTTCGTCGCACGTGGGTGAAACGTGTGGTAAAGTGTGCAGACCTGCTCCCGTCTCATTGCGCTGGTCTCGGAAAAAAACTGGAAAAAAACTCCTCACGTCCTGAATCGCTTTCTGATGTGATCCTGATCCTGTTAAATTGGTTACAGGCTGTTTCATCATACGGGGCCGTGAGACAAGTTGAAGATAATTCAAAGGGCTTTGCATAATACACCGGTGCTGTTGCACACATAGCAATGCACTTCTTAATCGTGTAGCAGTGTGCACTAGTAGAACCGCGCACTGACCATAAATGCCATTGTATGAATGAGCCACGGCACGATGGGTCCACTGTGACGAGACATCTTGGTCCAGCGCATCCAGCAGCCTGCTTACAGCATTTTCCCCCCGGAGGCAGAGAGCCAATGAGGAGCCGGAGCACAGGTACCCCACGTGGGCCTCCAAGTCCGAGGGGTCCTGCACGCAGCAGTGAACGCGTGTTGGACCATCGAGGCCTTACGTTTTTGTATCAATGGAAAGCTTGAGAGGGATAATGATGATCAGTTACACTCTGTGCAGGCAGTAGTGAGGTGGCAGTGCGTTTATCCAGGGTCAACACACGCAGGCCCACCATTGTGAGGCCACACAGCTGCAGTTTGTGGGCTATTTTAGCCAGCGAGTGATTCCAGATTGTTGGCTTGAACAGGCACAAAGTGACCAGCATCTGAAGGTCTGAACAGAATCCTCTTTATTATCGCATCAACTTGGAACAGAATTCACTGTAACTTAGTAAGGTATTAATATAATAATATCATTTGGCACAATGCCCTGTGCTGCACAAACTATATCTCGTCGGACACACACAAGACTTTTCTTCTTAAATAATTCTTCAATCTGGAGCTTGACTCAAAAGACTCGAATGGTTTTAGACTCAGTATCTGATCGCATGTTGTATGCAGCCCTCATGCAGCAATCATCTCGTGCTCAAAGAAGAACAGGGAGGCTTGTCTGAAAGCGTGGGGGACATCAGGACACTGAGGTCCCCGGGGTAATCTTGTGGTAAGAGTTTCCTCAGTGAAGCCAAAGCATCCGCGCGTTTAAGAGCACACACTAGGGCAGGACGGGGCATCAGATGGCCCACGCTGTCTTGAAAGAGCTGCTGCCCCACTTCGTATGGATTCAGCTCCCGAGCCTGAAGCAGAGTCAACGCAGGCAGCCACTTCAGGCCGAGCAGCTGGAATCCTGTATGTTGCATGATCATTGCAATCGAAATGAACGATTTCTAAATAAATAACTCACTCACAATCTCGCTGCTCTGTTCATTCATTAAACTGTGTGGGCTGCTGTGTGTATTTGGTTTGTTCGGTTTCAAAAGGCAGGACAAGCTGTGCTGCAGGTGAACTTCGCCCACCTTCTGGCTCCTCTGTCAGTACTCTGTGCAAGAGGCTCAGGCCGCGCCTCGTGTCCTTTCCACAGAAGGTCAAAATCGCCATGTCCGAGTTGGATGAGGACTTCGGGTGGGACAGGATCACGCTGGAGGGATCTGGCACTGCCCACATACACTGAACTAAAAAAAACAAACATACAGAAGACATGTGAAGGGGAAGAGCAGAGGAGCATCTACTGCTTCACTGAACAGGTGCTACGTACCAAAGACGTGGTACAGGTTGCTGCTGTAAGGCGCAGTGTGGAAACACAAGCTGGGCTCCGCTGCCCGAACCCCATCGACTCTGGACCGGATGCGACCCAGAAGCTTTGGTGTCTTAAATTCTCTCATCAGGGCTGGAACAACAAAGTAACACATTATGGAAAACCTGAATGTCCCACAAGAGGGAATAAAAAAAGTTAATCATCACTGCACAAAAGGTGATCAATTTTACTTTTAAGAAAAGGTGAGAAGAAAAACGTTTTGCAAGGTTGCTCTTGATGAAAATGAAAATAATGTATGTTTCTTCCTTTAATCTCCTGTGGCTGAATTGAGTACTAAACATGAAAAATTGTATGTTTCTGTCATTTGCCTAAATCCTTTTCCTTACCTGTTCTTAAATTATAAATACAGCAGAAAAAAACAATCCCCAGAATTCTTTTTCAATTGGATTTGCAGGACAGATGTTTATTTGCACTGTGCTTTAGAGATCATTTGAGATGGAATTCAGACCTGCTGGCAGACAAACAGTGTGGTGCACAGCATTTTCTTTCCTCAGTAACAACACCAGACAGGGAGAGAGCAGCTCCAGCTGACCCCGGCGTGGAATGCAGAACACTCGAGCCTAGAAATATACACAGGCTTCTATGAAAAACATGCAGTACACGTTGTGCATCACAACTGTCCCTTTTTGTTATCACATTGCTCTAAGTTTGTATCAACAAAATCCATTTCACCTCAACAAGTGTCTCTGGTAAATAGTGAAATTCCACTATTGCGTGATTGTAGTTGTACCTGCTGCTCGGAGAGTCTCAGGTCTGCAGCGCCGTTGCTCTGAAGCCGCAGCCTCTGCAGCCCCCCCAGGCCGAAGCCTCTGCGTTCACACACTGCCAGCACTTGGCCGAAGCAACATGGAGGCACAGCAGGCGACACCACCAGGAGGTTGTGCGGGGGGAGCACAAGGGGTACAGAAGGATTAGCGGCTCTACTCGTGTAAAATGTTTGATCCTTGCTGCAGTCAGGGTAGTAAAGAGGGAAAGTAGAAAATGGAATTCATTTGGGTTACTGTACTTTTCGTTGTGGCGCACAGAAAGACTCCTCTTCGCTCATTCGAGGGAACAACCCTACAAAGAAAAGACGGGGACTGATTCAAACATTTCCGGTTTTCAGATCAGTTTTGAACACAATTTGATGACTTTTTGACAACAAACCTGCTCGGGAGCCGGTTGTAAGGGCTAACTCTTCCTGAAAACCACAAGCACAGCTCCCTGTGCACCTGGCTGGCCGGTCGAGAGGAGAAGAAGAGAGGAGGCTCCAGAGGGTCGGTCCCTCCGGGCACCAGAGGGTCCGAGGAACTAGTCAGATCGCTCAACACGGAGTGGGCACGAAGGCCCCGCACAGCAAGGGCCAGGACAGGCTGGCAGGTCGCACCGGCTCTCTGAAGAACTGGTCCAGCACCTATGAGTCGGACAAAGACACTGACAAAGGACCTGTAGGACACAGTCGGAGTCATTTGGTATTTTATGACCAAACAGCTTTAGTCAAGTCTTACCAGCCCTATCACTCAGGAACTCCCGTGTTGGATAAAGGAGCCGCAGACCACACACATCGAGCCCCGAATCAAGAACCAGTTGGAGGGTGTAGTGTGTTATGACAGGATGGAGGATGAATGCTTCGCACCCCACAGCGTCAGACACCTGCAGCAGAAATAGGAGCGGCATTTATTTAGTTACCCAGCCTTCACTACCTCTGATTTAGTACTTCCTGGGATCAAAAGACGCACGGACACGCTCACTTCTGTGTGCAGCGCTTGTGTGGTCTCTCTCCCCCTGCAAACATGCTCCGGAGTTTCCAGAGTCTGCCAGTAAAAGCCGGGGTCGAGACCAAATGTCCTGTCAATAACCTGAAACACAAGGTTAAGGGAGCCCAACACAGTCAACAGAATCCAGTGGTAAATCATAGGCCCATTTTTTCCCTGAATCACCTTTTGGTTGGAGGTGGTGGAGATGAAACCGTTTAGACTGCATGACGGCAGATGGATGGGGGAGGCGAAGGCTTGTTGGTCCAGCAGGTTTCTGACCGCCGGTACCCAGCTGGCGATCAGAGGGAGCGAGGTCTCAGTGAGGAAGCTGCAGACGTGGTTGTAGAAAGGTGTATGGATGTCTTTGTTCCTTTTCTACAAATCAAACAAGAGGAACAGCGTCAGTACTATAGAACTATACACTTTGGAGTTTTGTGGCTCTCACGGAGTCGTAGAGAACGTCGGTCTTTTCGGCGGCTGGCCGCTTCTGATTGACCGATTTGAGTGGACGATGTCTTTCCAGTTGCTCAGGAATCTGTTGGTGTTGCTCACGTGCATTTGTCTGCTTAACTTCTGGTCTCTGTTGGTCACTATCAAAAAATTATTGTCGGCTAAAATATCAGTTTATTTGAGATGTGCAGAATGAATAAAGAAAAAAAGGCGCACCTCTGCTGCTCCGGTTTTTTGATTGGTCCTTGCTGAGATGTAGGTGGGGTTTCCATTTCAGTCATTCTGTATCCAAACTGCACATAAGAAGATTGATTGTCTCCCCCCTGTTTGTGTGTCTCCTGTCCACACGCAGACTCTGCAGCCTGCGGTTGCGCCGCGTTCAGTTTTTCCAGTACATTCTCTGGCACTGAATGAGAAGGGTCCATACATTCGTTGGGATATCTATCTCCATTTCCCTTCATCTCCCTGATCTTCTGAAGCAGCTTATTCTTTCCAGTCACTTCTCTGGAAGCGGAGACATGCGATGCTATGAACTGAAACAAAAGGTGCAGGACTGAAACATGACAAATGTTTTCTCGTGTATTCACCTGTCATCCGTGCATGATGCATGATGCACTTTAAGATTGACTTTCTTTGGGGTTTCGTGGTGCTTGCTGCGTTTGGCTGGTGACTTGGACTCTGATGGAGGATTTGGGGATGTTCTTGGTGATTTTATTGAAGAATCAGAGCAACGCAGGTCAATGTAAACAGTGGGACATTCCTTCTGCCTCGGCCGCAGCTCGTCTTCCAAACTCCCCGATGACTTTTCCCCCACATTGGTATGCCTGCGAGAAACAGCTGATCATTACCAGTATCTGTCGCAAAACATTTGCCGTGATTCCACTTACTTGATGTGGTTTGGACTTTCCATCGGCTCTGACTCATTCTTCGATGACTGGATGTCACAAAAAGCAACTAGTCTCTCCATTATGATTGCTTCAGATTTCTCCTTGTCGCCATCTATGAACAAAACGTAATCATAAATGAAATACATAACCCCCTATAATTATCAATAAACCCTTGATAATACACTGAAGCAACAGCTGTGTGTGCACCGCAATAATTCATTACCTGCATGTGTTTCCAGCGGTTCAACTGACACATGTTGTTGCAGAGGTAGCCGGTCCAGATTTTTGAGAACATCGTCCAAGTCCCACTGGTCAAACCTCTGAGTAACAACACCAGTATTTTTTAGGATGGGAGACTACTTAACCGCACCAACCATAATCAGAAGTTTATCCTTAACGTTTTATACTCACTGCCAATGACAGAACGGTCAATTGCTGATCAGCTGTTGTTGTTGTTGTTTGTGTGTTGTTTGGTCTCACGGAGGCATCTGACTCCACGAGGCCCGTCTGAGGAGCGTCTCCCTTTAATGGTGAAACAAGAAAGGGAAGGTTGATATTTTTAGTCTGTGATATGACACGCCTGGGTGAACAGAGGCTGCAGATCAACACGACCTACCTCGACATCAGCGAGTTGTCGTTGCGTGACAGTAGAGCCTTCCACATTTTCATCGCCATCCAATTGCTCACTCTCTTCTGTCCTGCGGGTCGGAGCTACAGGTTTCCACAGCCGCTGATTGCGAAAACACACACAAATAACAACAAGGACTTACTGCGATTAACACTCATGAAACTAATTGAGAGCTTACTAACCTCTAGATGATCGTCATCCATTGAGAGTAGGTCAAAGTCCTCAGAGACAGTCAAGGAAAGACCAGCGGGCCTTTGATATATTGTGGCAATCTCTTCATTCTCAGACTGCTACGGAAAGAGGAACCATTATTTCCTGTGTGATTTGTGGCTGTTAGTCAAGTTATATTGACGTTACGTTAATTAATTAATAGAAAAGAAAAACATACTGATGACGAATCAAAGTCCATAGTCGGTATATGCGGTTTCACTTTCTCCAGAATGGCCTCCCAACACGACGAATGATGCAGGTCCATTGTTGACGGTAAAATGTAATATTTTGAACATTACCGTTCATTACTTGCGGCTCCCTGGTTACGACGGCAACGGAAAACTTTCGACCGTTTGGCGCTTCGACTCTCGTCAACAATGTCGCCTTCAGGTACCGCAGGAAATATTACAACTTGTTAAAAAGAAGAATGACCGGAAAGTGTTTCACACCTGAACAGGCAATTATAGCTTATCCGCCTCCGGGTGAAAATTGTTTGAGGTACGTGAGATTGATTAGACTGTTCACATATTGTGTAAAAACATCAGTAAGATCGAGTATATGAGGGCTGGTTGAAATGCCAGTTGAATGCTGTAGTGCCGAAAGCAAAATAACCTTAGTGCACCTGACTTAGCTTACGTTAGCTAGCTAGCAGCTGTTGTGCTAAGCTAACGTTATCTCTCGCCCGTGCTGCATCAGCCGTGACGCGAGCCAGCTGATGAGAGGTAATGTTGCATTATAGTCTGTTCCTACGTGACGGTAAATACTTACTTTTATTTCATTGCATTTGTCACTCGCTGTGTATAAGTCGTGGGCGCGTGCTGTGGTTGAACTAACGTTAATTTTTTCCATGATGTGGTAAATTATTTCAACTCCTTTTAGGTTGATGTAAAGTTACATTGAAAGAAAAAAAAAGTCATACAAGTTGAAAACATTTATTACACTTGAAGACAATTTTCCAACTGTGTTTTGTTTTTAGTGTCAAACAAGTCACACCAAAAAAAACATCTTAAAGACTTTTTTGTTTCAGAGTTGTACTCACATTTCATCCTTTCCGGTAAATTTTGCCAAAGTTTGTTTAACGAGGCTAATCAGTAATTTTCGACTAAATAGGGATTATTTTACTCAAGTTTAATGGGCTGAACTTAAAAGTTTTGGAAAATGCCATTTTAGATTTGCATTTCAAATTGTAGGCCGGTGTGACATTTCTTTGCAACCGGTTTGGACCGGCTATCCCCCACTCCATTTGTCCTTATGAAGAACAGTCCAAGGACACAAATTAACGTCAAAATATATATATAAAAAAAAAAATGCATCAAATTTAAAGCTATCTATTTTGTTGTTTGCCTCAACACGTTTCCATAATCTGATCCCAAAGTGGTAGAGGTTTGTTTATGCAAACTAAATAGCCTACAGCATTTGAGCTGGATTTAGACAAACTCCTTTTAGGTTCTTCGTCTCTAGAGAGATCAACAATTTGCCGGTTGCAGTTACATTTAGTTCAAGCTAAATGTGTCTTTTAATCCAAAGAAATTCATAGCATCGCTGGTATATACTGGAACCATTTTCTCTAAAGGGTACAGGTTACAATATTTACCTGTAAATGCAAAACAAGAACCAGTGTCATACATTCTTATTACTTTTTTAAAATGGGAGGATATCAATTGTTAAAAATGGTTTAGCAGTTTTTGAAGAATTCACTGTCAATATCTCGCAAGTCCTGACCAACAAGACGCGGCGGGCTGATGCATGTGATATTGTTGAATATGGTGATGGTCGTGTCGGGCTCTTCGCCCTCTGCGTGCGTCTCCACTTGCCGAGGTATCACCGACGGATTCCTCAGGCTGTAGTTTCTGAGTGGGAGGGTGCCGCAGTCACACTTCCACCGGTTCAAGGACAGCAAAAGTTTTTCCATGTTGTCTGGAAAATCAGGCACTATGCTGCTCAAGGTGTTCGCTCTCAGGTCCAGATAGCGCAGTCTTGGGAGTAGCTGCTTCGTGCCATTCTGCAAATATTGTCGACATACATTGTTGGACAACAGCAAGTACTCCAAATTCTTAAGGCCGGAGAATGTGTGGGTTGTTAGAACCTCCAACATGTTGAAACTCAAGTCCAGTGCCAATAGGCCCACCAGGTCTCCGAAACTCTGTTCTTCTACCACAGAGATGTTGTTGTGCTGCAGGAAAAGCCTTCGCAAACCAGTGAGTCCAGTGAAAGCTTGAGTTGTGACTCTCGTCAGGCAACCTCTGTCCAGATGAAGGCTGTGGAGCTTTGACAGGCCGTTAAACATTTGGTCTGGCAGACTGTGGAAGCAGCTTCCGGTCAGGTTGATGACCGCAACGTGAGGGAGCCCGGTGAAACTACCCACCTGCGCCTCCTTCACCTGGTTGTGCCCCAGCTCTAGAACCTCCAGATGACCGAGCCCCTCAAAGATCCTTTCCCCCAAGGTCCGGATCCTGTTGTGGCTGAGTCGTAGCTCTTCTAAATACTGCAGATCGCGGAAGGTCCTGGGCCTAATTCCAGCAATTGAGTTGTTGGAAAGACGCAGTACATGAAGACTGTGGAGGCCCAAGAAAGTGTCGTCATGGAGAGAAGTCAGTCGGTTGTTTGTGAGATCCATCCATCTGAGCGACTTCATGCCTACAAAGGCTCTGGGTGCCACTGTAACAATGTGATTTTGGGCCAGGTACAGCTTATGCAGTTTAGTTAGTTTTACAAACACATTAGCTTTGATGACCTTGAGGTAATTTCCGGTCAAATCCAACTCTTTAAGGTCAACGAGATTTTGGAAAAGCTGTGGCTGCAGATAAGCAAGTCTATTCCCCGCGAGAACAAGCTCCCGTAGACCTTGCAGGTCGTGGAAAAGTGTCTCAGGTAAAACCACTAAGGAGTTCCACCCCAGGTTGAGAAGCCACATCCGTGAGAGCCCTGCAAACAGTCTTTCTTCAAGACGAGTGAGTTGGTTGTTGTGCAGACTAATTGAAGCAATGTTGGGAACGTTCTGGAAGATCGTACCTGGTAACGCCCGGATGCGATTCCGCTCGAGGTGAACGTGTGCAAGCAACCGGAGTCCTTTAAAAGCCTGAGGGTCGAGTGTCACCAGCTCGCCACTCTGCAGGTTTAAAAAGTCCAGGTAAGAAAGATCCTTAAAAGACCCCGCTGGGAGGGAGGTGAACAGGTTTCCATCCAGCCAGAGGCAGTGAGTCGACGGGGGCATGTCCGAGGGCACTTGTGTGAAGTTGCGACCGCTGCAGTACATGCTGAGGTCCAGGCTGTAGTCGTCGTGCATACAGGTGCATCCTTTAGAACACGGGGTGGGCTCTTCGGCCACTTTCTCTCCGGCTGTGTCGGGGTCTGGCAACACCAGTGACGTTCCCAGCACCCACAGCACCAACAGCACGATGGTTTGCATACCGGCTGTGGACGAAACATTAACAGCAAACGTTTAATCTGCACTAAATTCACTACAGAATTCAGATAATTAGATATTGTATTTCTGCTGCATGGTCTAAAGGATGTCGCTTACCTCCGATACGAGGGGTTGTGATCTAAGGCGGACGGGTGGTGAAACACTGAATGACTGAACCTTGTGCAATTGTTTGTACGCTGGATGGAAGGTTTGCCAAGCCCACAAAACCCTTTTTTTCTTTTTTTTACAGCTTGACTGCACTGAAATATATAAAGTTAACCCATGCATGTCCACTTGGCCTGTGTTGAAATATTTTTTATATGTGCCGACCTTTTTTTTTGGCGAGGTTTATATTTTGTTTTTTACCAGCAGTAACTTCGATTAATCTTTTTAAGTCTGTAAAATGAGAATGAGTCTCGGTAGAGATGTTAGGAATACTTTTTTTCAGATTCTAAGAATTGAAGTCCGGGTCCTGTCACTGAGTGCATTTGCTGTTGGTTTGAACTGACCGAACTGGCAAAATTGTATTTCACTTGTGACCTCAAACCTGGAAGTCCGTTTCTCGTATTCATTTTCTCTGAGAATCACAGTTCTAACATTTCTTTCAGTGAAGAGCATGAATCAAAAGGGCTGGTTTGAGTATTTTAGAAAAAGCCTACTGGGATTTTACAAGTTCAATTCATTTCATTTGTGTTGTTCTGTATCATACAAATTTCAATTTTAGGATACATATTTTATATCATTGCATTGCCTAATAGTTATGAGGAATTTGTAATAGATGCTTGGGGACAATCCCCTTTACTATATTTCCCCTTGAGAACATAAATAAAGTATCTATTTTATCCATCTCATACCTCTTTGTTTTATTTGAATAAAGTAAGCATGAGGTCGGTTCCAGAAGTCCATTTTCTAATCACAATTGTAATGACTAACTTTCTATTTACTCTTTTTCATCGTATTTGAGTTCTTTTAGACAACCATGAACTGGTCATGCTCTAAAGGACAACCAAATCCAGATAACACTGTGTGCTCACACATGAATTCCATTGATTGATTTGCCAACACTGATTCATCACAATGTAATGAAAATGTATCATTTTAACTTATAACTAAAGCTTACTAGATGACTGGCTCATTGGCTTCTTAAAATTTGATTTTGCACACATTTTGGTAATAATGATTCTTAATTATCTTATCTGTATTCTAGTAGCATATATTTGCATATTTATTAGCTATGTCACATAAACAAAAGTAATACATGTCACATTTCTCTTTGTGAAACGACCAGTATTCGTTTTTTGTTACTGAAGCCTTTTTTTTTAGCATGCAAATGTCTTACCAACCAATCCGGCGAGTATTCTGAGGAGATGAATCCTAACTTGTGTTTCTCCTGCCAGTAGAGCGCACTGCTGGTCTGTCACATCAACAGCTTGGAAGACTTCTCTCAAAAGACTCTTCCTAAATTGATCTGTCAGTTTAATGCTGAATAGAGTGTGACAATAAGTGGTTGGGGGAGGATTTTAAACCGAGTTCAATGTTGCTGAGCCGTGCCCCACTTCATCTCTTTGAACAAAGCAAACAATATGAAGAATTGAAAGGTACTTTGTGGTTTGTGCAACAGATAAAAATAAAACACTGCAATTTTTACTGCTGTAAAAACAATTTCCATACCTACCGGCTGCCCGACAAACGGGCTCCTCTGAGTGGCGGAGCAGAGCCACTGTGCCGGAAAACCTTTTACTTCTTATGGAAGGATCATTTCCTTAAATGATTCTAGATAAGTGTGATGCTCCTGAAAGGCTCGATGTCAAACCATCACGCGTCAGAACTCCTGTCATGATGCAAAGGACGGCCTGGGGACACGTTTAGGATCCATTAAAACTTCAAATGTAATAACTGGTCTCCAGATTAGTTGTGCTGATGTTGAAAGACATGTTCAGCCCCAAACACAGATGTCCAGAAATTGTGGTCATCTTTGGTTCCTAGTTGTGTTTTTTTCTTTGCTGGTTGCATTGCAAATGAGTATATAGCATAGTCCGTCTTGCCAGTTAGCTATGCCGTCTTTAGCTTTGACCTCAGATGTTTTGTCACAAGGTGAAATTTCAAAACTCAGAACATTATTACCAATATTTAGACGTATCCAGGGCGGATGCAGAGTAGTCAATTAATCTGCCATTTTGGTCTCATTTATTTGTAAAATGTGTGCACATCCCTATTAAACATGATGTTTCTGGACTAAAAATCTGTTGGTCTCCAAAAGCATCAAGTTAACATACGGACAGGTGGAAGTTCAAAATGTACCCTTTGACCTCACCTTTTTTCTTGGCTGTTATCCAAATATTTGTTCACAATTTGCTTTCCGAGCTGATTCTGAGACTACTACGACTTCTGAAGCTCACCTTTTCTCAAATGAACGTTTGGTAAGAAAATATAAGCCAGCAGCTGAACTCAGTGAAGTGAACGAGCTCTTTTAATGGACAAAAGCCCAAAGCAACAGATGAGTCCTCCTGGGCCTCTGCAGGGGCTCAATGTTGGACCTGAACACGGTGCGTTGTGGTGCGTACAGCCCCGAGGGAAAGCCCACCAAAGCAATTCTTTTCCCTTCTTTGTTGCTTTAACTGTATTCATCCTTCATTAATTGGGCCCAATTAGAGGATGAAGCTATTATTCTCCGCTGTCGACCAAGTGGAGAGGTTAAATTGAACTAATTTGTTTTCTTTGTCTCCTCAGAGGATTCAACCGAGAACAATTCAGCTTCACCAGCCACGTGATGAGATTACACAGGTGAGTTTTAAGCCTTTGACGTTTATCTTTAGCTCGGAAGGAGTAAGAGAAGACTCAGCCGACGCTGGCAGATCGCTGGACTCTTTCTCTGGTCCGATAATGAACAAAGAAAAGCGTGACGACTTCAAAACGGGGTTTCCAGATAGCCTTTCACCCACCAGCGCCGCTCTGATCCCGGCTGCTACCTCGGCCCTTTGACAGCCAGAGACCCCCGACGCCCCTGCAGTGGCTATTAATACCAGCCGCAGCTCGCAGTCAGCTCGCTGCCTTCTAGCAGGCGGGACAGCAGGAACGAGCCGGAACCCGGCGCCGCTCCCTTATTGATGGTGATCAGTGTGAGCGGAGCAAATCCTTGCAGCTGATGAGCCAATGAGGCGTTTCTTTTAAACTGCATGTGCAGGCCACATGATGCCATTAATGGAATAATCGGTGCTTATTAATATATTAATGATAATAATTCTAATATTCAGATGGTTCAGGGTTTGTGGTGATAATAATAAGCCACTTACATTTTTTATCTCAGGAGTTTGAACCCTAGAGGGATCAATGAGTTAGTTTGGGCCCTACTCATTATTTAAAATGTAGTCTTTGTGTGAAGATGCAGACCCACATGGCTGCATTGAAAGACTGAAAATGATTTAGTCTGAATTTAAAAATACGTAATTCTAGTCAAAGACCCTTTTAGGATTCCTAGTGAGCGAGCAGAAGCTCTGGAAGCTTCTCCTTAGCAACCCTCTTCCATAGTGTCAGATTTCCTTTTTGTCCGATCGGGTCGTTTTGCCGATCAGAATTTGCAACATACGATTGACAAATGAATTATTAACTAGTCCGACGGTAGTTACACTGCAGAGATACTTTTGGCTGACAACTTGGATCCAATTTTTTGCCGATTAAATACTGCCAACTGTGATGGAAATCCTCTGGAGAGATATGAGGCTCCTTCATCCCATCTAATTGTATTTGGGCTGCTATCTTCACAGTTATGATTCCCTCCGGACGGACAGTGTTTCACTGCAACCAGCTTCTCTCTGTGCGAGCGGAGGGATATTCTAATCTCTCGAATATATTTCAGTCGTATGCATTAACATGCTTTGGTCATGTTTTAACTCGGAGGTAGAAAGAGATTTCTGATGATGATGAGAGACAGAAGTGCTGTCAAAGTTAAAGGATGCATTCATCTTTCTTCAAATAGAATATATTACTCTATAGTAGCTGAATGTCGCTTTTCTGTATGCATTCACTGAGCACCAGCAATGATTGAAGTGTATTTTAAAATACATACAGTGTGTTTCGGTGCAGGAGGCGGGTGCCTAATCTGCAGAGATGTGGTTTGATATGTTTGGAGAAAAACCAAAATGTGATTTTTCACTTTGACACTAAAGCAGGTCTCCTCCTTCTGTAACAACAGCATGCACACGTGTGAATAAACAGACGCACTTTTTATATGGAATCCTCCCTCCTAGGCAGCATGTTTGTTTTTGTTTTTTCAAAAGATTGTTGAAGTTGGAGCAGAGAATTCCCTGTGGGAGCCTAACATGACTTTCTGTTGATGTCGGAAAGGCATCCGTGTGATCTTCTCACATATGGAGCCGGAAATAGCGAAGTGTATGTTAAACCAAAACTTAAACCGGGCTTGAATAATGCGAGTTGAAAGGGAATGGTGAAAATACTTCAGCCCAAGTTGCGACGCGCCTTAACAAGAGGGAGTTTTGCAGCAACGACACTATGAAGCTCATCATTTATCACTGACTTTTAAACCCGAGAAAACGGCACTTATCCTAAAATGACCTTTCTTCTTGCCTCAAGCAAGAGCAGAGACTTCCTAGCGTCTTGTGTCTGCTGTGCCGGCTTCTCTCTCCGCGGAGCTGCACATCCTTAATCTCCGTGCGCCGCCCGTCACAGACGCTCAGATTGTGCTCCAAGCTGCTTCGCTTGCTTTTGTAGCAGCCCTGTTATCTGGGCTGTGTTACTGCGCACTGGCTTGGGGAATGGATCCATTTGGAGCATTGACAGCCAATTCTGGCCCTGCTAGTGTCTATTTATGTCAACTGAATTGCTCCCCTACTAAGTGCCTCGCTTGACTGCAGTGCATTGGAAATTATGACCGTTTATGTCTTTTATGTACGGATCATACTTCTCTGTAGTGTCAGTTTTTCCATTTCCTTTTTTTTTGTTTTCCCATAGAAAGGATACACTAAGATAACACAGGGTTTTTAGGTAAGAATACTTGTTTATTATATTATTAAATAAGAGTGCATAAATAAGTGTATGGAAAGCAACGGTCGGTCAAACGCACTCTTCTTTCTTTGGCTTAATCCCTCGCTGACTCAGACAGAAACAGAGAAATGAGAGAAATTATATCCAATGACAAATATTAGTTCCCAGATTAATACAAAACAAAACTTCTCATATAATTTATAGGCGCACAGTGTGCATATAACTCAACTATCATGACTGCACTCACAGCCGTTGCATGCAGCGACACGACTTCCAGTTAGACAGAAATGTCCCCCGTTATTTCCGCTGCGAATGTAATGTTATTACTTTATTTTGTATAAGCAGCAGCATTTGAATGCCCCTGCAACGGGAAAGTGTCCGCCTGTCACAGTCTGCTTCTTCACGCCGAGGACTGAGCATCTAGACAGCTTGTCAGTCGAAGCACCTCACTGGTCTCCCACTTTATTGCAGTCATGGAAAACACCTGAGGAAGGTGTGACTGCTTCTGAATTATTTAAACTTAAACAGGACTTAAATCAGCCGATCATCTTTGAGCTTGGTCTCCAGTCTTTCTAGAATCTCCCGTGTGTTGCAAAGCTGGTGGAGCCTTTTCTAAGGAACAAGTACATTTTCTAAGGATTATTGGGTTATGAACAAATCCCTGATACACTTTTCCTTTGTCCTACTACTCCTTAATGTGTCCCAGCACATTTCAGAACCCTTTATGTCAGGAACACATGAACTGCATGTAGCAATCATCACGAAGACCCACTGGGTTAAAACCAGTGTGGCGCACACACTTTTTTTCCGTTTTCCCCTTGTGGATTATGGTTTGTTCGTGGGAAAAGTACAGTCCTGCATTACATTTCACGTTTGAAATATCACATGCATTCTTTATGTCATTTCACACAGCAGGCCTATGTCTGTGCCCCCCCCCCCGCCCCCCGCCCCCCGTCTGACTGAATTAGGTTATTGTGCCGATTTAATTTCCAGAGGGAACCACCCTGGTGGTAAGAAACACCATTTGCTAATTAACAAAAATGTCTCCTGGCGTTTTCACAAAAACGACAGCGCTCCCAGCGGATGGTTAGAAGTTGAGGTCTAAGAGAAGCCTGTAAACAGGAGTTCTTTGGTTTTTCAGTTGTCATTTTATTTAATTTAAAACATTGCCATGGTTGAAGTATTTGTAAATGTGTATTTGAATAAATCTCTTCGCATTGTATGATTTGTGATGCTGCGATGGTCACGAAAGGTAACATCAGTATTATCCCTCAATGACGGAGTAAATGTCTGAGGGAGAAGTTGTATCCTGCTATTGTTACTGATGGAATGTGATTGAATAACCTGTTCGACATAAGCTGTTTTTTTTTTTCTCGTCTTTAGTCATGCGACTATATTACATTGTCAACGCGAAGCTTCCTGTTAGTAAATTACTTGGTCAGGTTATATAATGGAAAACATCAAGGTCAAAGAAAGACAGTTTTGTTATAAATAGCTTTAATGTAGACTGTATAATGACACCTCACTGTATTCTAAAGTAGCACACTGATACAATGTAGCGTGCTGTACAGGAGAGAGCCGCGTGGTCCATGTTGTAATCAAGAGGAAGTGTTTTATGAAGAACTACCAATGTTAAAGAAAACATCCCCCTGTAGAAAATGCACACTGACGTCCATCACCAGACAAATGTTTGTTTTCCTTTTTAGTGAATAAGAACGAGGTCAGTTGAACCAATTGCAAAACCCTAAAAGCTCTACTAGTTTTACGGTAAAACCACCAACGCTGTGCTCAAGTTGCTCGTTGCCAACGACTATTTTCTACACTTGGATGGTTTATTTAACACATGGAATAAGACGTCTTGTATCGTCCTAATAGACAGTCTTGTTGGTTTTTCACATTTTAAAAATATTTGCTGTTCCAGACGGCACTGAAACCATTTTAAAACACCACAACAGACTGGAACACATAGATTCAATGCTATTTCACACAATCCAATACAACAAAAATGTCAATATGGAGGTTATCTTCTTTACTGCATAAACAATGAATGGAAAATATGTCAAAGATAAGTAAATATCCAATAACGTGATGGAGGATGTGAACTCTGTGAATATATTAAACGGCATTGTAACCATAGTAACTTTGTATTGTACATGATTAGAACAGTTAATGAACTAACAGTGATGCAAAGAATAGATAGTGAACTGTATTAAAACTGTAATCAAGGCGCTTGCATTATAAACTTCACTGAAATATAACTGTTAATGTGTGTTGTCACTTCTGTATTGCAAATCAGATTAATATTAATTAATAATATTACAGTAAAACTTGGTGTGTAAATAAGTTTTTGTGTAGCTTTATAACAGTGTTTGCAGTATCTTTGAGGACATAATTAAAATAAAACCACTTCTTTTGACAAAAGAAAATCCTTCATTGGTATTAGACAACATTTTTTACATGAACACAAATCGTCTCAAAGAATAAACTCAAGTTTAAATAGTGTGAACAACACGTTTCTTACTACGGTGAAACACAAGCAGTTCCGTGCAGTACGTCTACATGTTTTGGAAAACGGTGCATATTGTGTGTTTGGACTGGAAGTCTGTGAGATTTTGACTTGAGTACATAGACGCGCTCTTATGCTGCACGAGCAGTTTCCACTTCCCACAGCAGACTGTTCATACACGTCCCCCCAACCGCATGAGCAAGACCTGCAGGCAGCAAGGGGCCTCTTTTACTGTATGTCGGCTGGCCGGAAAATCACATTATTTATGAAAACAATTGGTCTTTCAGGTGCGTCGTGACTTGTTTTTCTACTGAATTCTTCTGCTCGAGCTGAAATAAGAAGTGGAAACAGATCTGTTTAACAACAACAGCAGCAGCAGCAGGTAAATGTGTCGCCTGTCAATTAGACAAAAACGGGTTTATATGTCTTTAGTTCACCCATTTTTTTTTTAGTAGTAACAGAGAACAACCTTTTACTTTGCTTCACGACATTTTTACATTCAGCCTATCAGAAGCTCACGAAGCTTTAACTTCCCAACACTGGACACGGCTGCTGCTACTGCTCCACTGGTTTCACTGGTTCCAGACTGACCGGCCCAGATACATTCGACCAATGTGAGACTTGAATCATGTAAATTTTCTTTTTATAAAAGCTGAGAGTTTTTAACTTTTGCTGTGAACTCTGAGCCTCCGTCGTCACACTGAAAATGACTTCTCTTGTTGGGCTCAATGGACCAGTGGGCCCAATCACTGCGATGATACTGGCAACCACACACATGCTGGTACTGACGAGAGGCACTATTACACAAACGCCACACCGCTTCAACACTGCTGCTGCTCCTACGAATGTGTCCATCAGTAGGATGCATTTGGTTAGTGAAAAAAGTAATGTTGCATTCACAAATTTAAATTGAAATCATTTTTTGTCAACACTTGATGTTGATTCCCCTTTAATTCTTTTTAGAAAGAATGAATGATAAACTTAGGGGGTCTCCGGTTGTGCAGCATTTGAAAACAAACTTGAGTAAGTTATTGTTGGATGAAATGTAAAGAGGAGTTGTGGGTGGATGAAAACCAAAAGTGAACTTTGACATTTGCAAAGTCCTTTTTTAAGCCAAACAATGATGTTTTACTAAATGTAACCAAGTGGTCATGTTGTTTAAACAGTACGATGTCATTTTGTTTTAATTTACAAAGTTTCCACAATGGGTTAGGGTTGAAATTTGTCTCCAGACGAACTCATTGAGAAAGTGGTCTTGTTGTAAGGGTTACATACAGAGTTGCATTTAGACAAATCTTAAGGTCCAATAATTTCTCCGTTACTATTGGCGATAGCACTGTACGTGTCACATGTCTGGTATATGAGAGTTGTGTAACTTTTGTGTTTTGCTTTAGCCGCTGGATTATACGTTTATCGATGACAACATTTTGATCGCTGTGAACCTCCTCGTGGATCACTGAGTGACACGGACTCCTGTTACAGTACACGTCTACCTGTCAGTCCCTCAAGTCCCTCATACTGTCACTTCCGTCTTGCTGTTGGTCACAAAGTACGGTTGTGGCGGCATGTAGCGGGCGGCGTGCAGCTCCTCGTCCAGGATGCAGAGTTTCTTGGGGCCGTAGCCCTGCCGCAGCCCCAGCGCGTCCCTGCTCCCCCAGGGTCTCAGCCCCCCGGCTGCGGCGGCGGCTGCGGCGGCGGCGGCGGCCGGGCCGTAGGACAGCGACTGGGTGCTGTGGCTCTTGGGGCTTTTGTATTTGTGTGCGTCCTGCTTGGCGGACACCTGCCTGGGGGGGCTGTAAGGATTGCTCGGCTCCGGCTCCGTGTCCACGGCCTCCGTGGGGAGGCTTCCCTTGGTTGTCATCGCCATCACCTGCTGCCGGTTGCTGTAGAAGCCGTCGTTCTCTGCTACCAAATATAGATAAACAACATATTTCCTAGTGATTTTCTCCTCATTAGCCATTGCATTGTGTCCTTGGTACCGAGCTAGACAGGCAGATGGAAATAGAATTATGTTGCATGAAACAAATTGATGTGCCATATTAAAATCATGTGCAGTTCCCTTGATAGTAATACCCGATAATGGTATTTTTAATGGATCTTTACATCGAGGAACTCGCAACAACTTTAAGGAGAATATAGTATCTGACGGATGAGTTCAAAGTCCTTTATCTGCCCTGTGAGTGTTCATTCGGGAGGGCTACCGCCCCACTCATTAGCATGTCACCATGTGGCAACATTTCACCAGCCACAGCGTAAATTACACCCACACTGCAAAGTAATGCTTGTAGTTTACTAAAAGGTGGAAGCTTAACAAAAACCACCAACTCAAGTATGTGTTTTACGTTATGCCTTCCTGTCAGCCATTACGTAAAAGTACGGTACATTATCATAAAAAATGTGATTAGGCTTGATAAATAGGATTTTATTGCTTTAAGGTGCCTCCCATGTGGTTCTAGGACCGACAGAGCTGAGCGGATTGCATACGTGTGACATGTTTGACATGCTACACGCCGCATGGCCCCCTGGGAAATGTGTTCTAATGCTGAAACTGTTTTTATCAAAGCGGCGGCACTGCCCTCGCTGTGGGTAACGCACCCAAACGGCATCTTTCCTTTGCAGAGACGCCTGCTGGGTTCTGTCATATCGCTCTGTCGACATCACAGTTGATCCGGTTGTATTTGAGGTCATTGTTAGTTGGAGGAGATACAATATGATACAATTCCCGCGGCTCACAGACTAGTCGAGTACTTTTCTGGCATTTATTTTATTTTGATCAGCTGCTGCAGTTTGCTCATAAAAAAAACCCTTTAGTGTGACTTTATATTTCAGAAACAATATGACAACTGTGTATTTGGGCACTAATTGAGCCTCAGCACAAGCTACAGGCGTTATCCTTTTATAACATACATACGTGGATCCGATTTTTATTCCACAGATTTGAGTTCCATTGCAACATTTCCGATCTTTAATGTGGTCTCTTCTCCGGCTGCAAGCTTGGGCTGATCTCGGTCACCCTTTGTGTTACAGGAAAGCGATGTGGTGCTGAGCTCTCTGTACGGCCTCAATGCTGGTACATGTACACTACTGTATATGTGCATCTCATCGCAACTTCCCAACTCAGTTGTGTTTTGATTGCTGCTGATTGTCTCCTGTCCCCGGTCTCATTAGCTTAGATTTGCTCTATTTTTATTTTCCCTAATGATCGGCTTGTTTGACGGCACTTCAGCGGATTAGCAGCGGAGAAGCTTCGGCTGCTCGAGTGAATAACAAAGAGAGTGAGCTATTTTATCTGATTGGACCCACTACACGCACACCCGACTGTCCTCCCGTCCATCACTCACAATTGATTCATCTATAAATAAGACTCCCGTTTCACTGTGCAAAATAGCATCAAATGCACATCCGCAAATACCTTTTATTACACACCTCGATTCTGCATTTATTTAATTAATTCTCTGCTAAATTATAAATGTGAAGCGGCCGGGCTAATTCAATTTGTTTTGGTCAGAGAAATCTAGCACTAATCCACTGGGATGTTAACTCCTGCAACAGACACGAGAAGCACTAGAATAGACATTACTTCGAGAATGCCTGAATTCAAAATGTAAACATAATTGGATTCGATTGAGAACTCAATATATTTCCTGATTATTTTTGCTCCACGGTAACATAAAGACTGTCATCAGTGTTTTGATGTGACTTCACTTGGACTCCTTTTTAAAAAATGTATAATTTGCATTTATTCATGATGCAAATTCCAAATGCACCTTCAGTTCCCCTCTCTGCCGGCAATGATGCACTATGGATCTGACAGTGAATTATTACATATATATATATATATATATATATATATATATATATATATATATCCTGATTCCGGTTCACTCAATGAGACTGAATCTCTTATATCTTATATAATGCAGAGAAACCGTGATTATTTATGCTACATTCATAGAATAAGATGCTAATTAGATCCTTACCCACAGCCTTCAGCGTGGCGTACTTGTTGGGGTCCTTGACAGGCTGGTGCTGTTCGTAGGGGCTGGGAATCCTCCCCACGGCCGGGTACAGCTGTGTCATCAGAGTCGATGCCTGAGCCATGTTGTTCATCTGGTTGCTATCTGAAGGAGGGGAAAACGCAAATGCAGATTTCCATTTAGGATTGGACAATATTTCATCATCTTTCAATGGAATCCTACTGGGAGGAGATCATATAGGAAATCAGATATGGTTATTCAGAATTATTTTATTCATATAGAACATGGTCTTTCTTAATTTCATAAAGCTGAATGAATTTCCTGTATAGATATCGATGGAAAATATATGGCCATCTCCTCAGCCCTAATTCTCTTTAAATCGCTGAAGTAATATGTTGAAATATCTGCTTCAGCTCATACAAGAGTCAATAAGTTCATCCTTGTTCATCCTTTCAATTAATGATAAAAATACATATTCCCTTAAACTGGCTTGGTGTCCTCTAAGTGATGCTTGTATGATCCCCTCATAAAAATCATCTTGATGGATGTAAGTATAGAATTAACGCTGCTGTAACTTTGTAGTGTCACTTTCTTTTCTGGGGGTGGGGGGGGGGCAGCTGGAGTCATGGCTGCTCTTTGTGAAACTGTGCTAATCCCACAGTAGACATCTGGGAAATTAAGGGGTGCACAGTGAAGAGACCGGCCTCCTGCCTGCTGGCACGTCGGAGCAAACAGATGTTCACAGTGTGTCTGGTTGTTATGGAACGCAGCACTTCACAGCAGTGCCGTGTGTTTTATATACGTTTATATATTTAAGAGGAGAGACATCAACACATTTATTGGCCACTACCTGATGTGTGTGGTTTTGCTTATTCATGACTTACTTGACCTCCTTACATTTATGTTTCTATGCAAATGATCCCTAATGACCACATGCAATTAGAGGGAAGTAATGGACGTCTTTGCAGAGTTTGTGAGAGTTGCATCTTGTTTATTGCGGGGATGCAGTGACAGGAGGAAGTGACGGTTGTGACGCGAGAAGAAATAATTGAATAAAGCTCCGTGGTGAGAAACTGCATTTAAAGCGTATTCACTCGAGTTAGGAAAAATTCTCAAACGTCACAGCGAGACGCTCTAATTAACGTTTCCTCATTAATTATGTATTAATCATCCGTTATACTTCCCCACTTGTGTGATTGCAATCAAATGCAAAAAGGAACGTTTTTGCCTCTAGCCGCCCGACTTCATGGGTGTGTTCACGTGGACCTCACGAGGTCGACGTGTCCGCTGGATGGCACCTGGAGACGGGCAGCTAGTCCATGTTTACTACTTGCTGCTATCGGAGGCCGTGATCCATTCGGTGTGAGACACTCATTGTGCTGTTGGTCATGACGCAAACCGTCCACCACTGTTGTCTCCTCGTGACGAGTATTGTAGTCATGGAGACAACAAAATGCTTTACCAAAAAGAAGAATCCTCAAATTGTAACGAGCAGTCCGCACACGCGTCGAATCTGTTGCCTCTTCACATGTCTTTTTTAGGGCTTGTTGACCTGCTTCAGTTTCATAGAATTCCCGGTAAGTGGGCCATGCACACACGCTCTCATTCAACGTCCTCTTGTTTAAGCTGAAGGTCCAATTCGATTGTCTGCTTCCACAGAATTCATTTAGTGTACTTCACTTGTAATTCCTTTTAACCTTGAAAATACATGATTGAAACATTGGTACAAAACACACAAACAGTAAAACATTGAGATCAAGTTAGATTTTTTTTTTTACAGATCAACGATTTTTGGTTGCTCATCTGTTGAACCATTAGACCGTTGTGCTGATCTGATGCTGAGCTCAAGGTCGGGGTTTCTCTTTAAAGATGAATCCTTTCTAATGTTTATCCATGTACAACTGAATCCTTTGGCCCACTTCTGATGTCTATTCTATGTCATCCATTCACTTTTGGGTGATTTCACTGCACTCTGTAAATGAGGACAGTATTTTTGCGAATGTTTGGTGCGACTTTGCTATTTTGAGGACACCAAACAGCGGTGCGGATGTTTGTTATTGTTTTTCTCCCTTTTTTTAATGTTGATTTGTGCTGTTGACTGAGTGTCGTTGGAGCGCGTACTGTTGTCACAGCCACAGCTTTCATGTCAGCTGCTGGAAGAAAGTAGGCCACTTCGGGAGACTTGTAAGGTTAAAGACTCCACGGTTGTTGTGGGAAATAAGCGAGTGTAACACTCCAGACACAGACGCCACCCTGGAACTCATAAAAGATTTAAGAGGGTATTTTGGGAGCTGTACGCCCTGAAATGAACGGCGCAAGGAGAAGGTTGCTCTTATTTACAGGCAGCCTACTTCCAACTTAGTGATGAAAATATTCTGTTATCTCTGAGTCAATATCTTTCCATCTCAGTATCCTGGAATGTGAAACGCTGTTTGTATTATATCTGTGTATTATTCTGTTATTAGAAGGTAGTTCTCAGTTATACTCAAACTGATGTGTACATTATCACATAAAACAGTATTTTTAGCATATATATATTGATGTAACTATTGATCTGGTAAGTATAGTGGGTTGAGTGTCGAGTATTTTGTTGACAGGCGTTTGTAATTAAACTACAAGTAATTAAATACACAATGTATTAAAAATATGCAATGTGTCCACTTGCTAAAAGAATCCAAAAAATACTTTATTTTGATGCAATGCTGTTTTTATTAAGCAGAGTACAGAGTTCTTTATTAAGTTAATAATTAGTTTAAAAGAGTATTTTATGCTGTTTGATCATTTATAACAAATTTAGTTTATAACAAATTTCCCGACAAGCGGCAGTTATCTACAATACCAAAAAGCAACACTTTTGAATTGCATACTATTGCCTATTTAAATGACTGAAAAGCGTGCGTCACAATGTCTCAGTGCTGTGTTTTTGTCTCTCCCATAAAAGCATTTGGGATTCGATCAGCTCGACATTTATAACTTTTAACCATTATTGAGCTCCGGAAAAACCACCAATTTTCAACAGTAATACCCCTGAACTAGTGGAGAGCAGAATCTGGTGTGAAATAGCCCCGTATTACCCTGGAACAACCCCCTTGTTTCTGTTAAGTGAGCCAGGATACTGCTGGAGCCTCCAGCATACGACAGCAGATATTTATCCCACACTCCTTGGCTTCAGTCTGGTTTAAGGTTTTGTTTTTTTTTTTTTGGGGCGGGGGGGAGGGGTGTAGACTGGCATGCTCCAGTGCACCAGTGGAGTGTTGGCTTTATTGGAGACTTTATTCTCTTTGACCGATGAGCTCGAGTAAAAAGAGGCCACGCTTCACAACGGCCCCCGTGTGGCCACGTGGAAAACCAACGGGTGGCGAAAGTCTGCGCTACTGATCTTGATGCCCTTGACATGCAGTGTGAGGAAGAGGGGAAGCCTCCAGAGCGTTTTCAAGCACTGGGGTGTACAGTGACCAGTATGGCTTTGGAAGTAATCACAGCCACCTCTAAAAAGCCCAGCTGGAGAGGGCAAGCACAGGACTGGTCCGTGTGGCTAAATGTGTCACCACACCTCCGGGAACGTCGCAAGAATGTCAAGAAAACGACAATCGTCCTTGCGCTTGTTGCCAGCTCTATTAACTGGAGTCCGTCCCATTTATGCCTGTAAGATGCACTGTGCCATGGATCTCCCATCCAAGGTCACAGAACAAACAGAGGAGTAGAATATGAATAATGAAGCAATGTTCAACTTGAATGACACGTACGTTGTTTTACCAATTATACTTAGTATACAAATAGGTGCTTGTATAGTATAATAACTGGATTGCGAAACAATACAATAGTTAACGTGATGTTGATGTCCAGTAAAAAGTCTCAAAATGATTAAAGACTTGTGCCCTAGTGTATACTAATCAAACTGTTGTTCCCCAACCTGTCTCACCGCCAGACGCAATTAGAGATGGTTTAAGAGGGTGAGACACACACACACACACACACGCCGATCTCATTATCTACTGGTGAATATTACTGATGGGAAATCTTTGAGTACATCAGATGAGACGACAGACTTAAGTAAGAATGCATGTTTAATGATCGTCAGACACTAATGTGTATCATATATATGTATATCATATATATATATTTATATATACATATATATTCTATAATTTCCTGACTCAAAGTAAGAGGCAGCTGGGGGGAAATGCACATTTTTCCAAAGCAATTCATTTTTCATTTTTGTGACATAACCTTTAAATAGGTGGAGTCACTGCGGAGCGGCTCACATCATTGATCATTTTCTTTCATTCACTGTGCTCCGGGGACCAGCTGGAAAAATGGGATTTTAGATCAGGACAAATGCTCCTCAGGGTTTTCCCTTACGCTGTGCGTAACGTTAGATGCTGGAGGTGGATACAAACTTAAACCCATCTGTTAAGTGCTGGCTTTTTATTTTTTGAATCCTCCACACTACACAGGTAGATTTACATAAACTGTACATATTATACCAAGGTAGCAAATCTCAGTCTCGGAGTGGTTTGTAATTAAACAGATCACTATTCTGTGTGGGGGCAAAATGTAAGATCGCACGCCGATTTTAGAATGTTTGTCACGTCACTGCTGACACCTCCACGTTTACTTATATGAATGCCTCTTAAAAGTTAAAGGTTATTCTTGTTTGTGTTACATTGCATTTGTCACGTCAGTGATATTTATGCTCAATGAGACGGAGTTTGTGACCTCACAAAGTGCTGCGGCCTTCTATCAGTCACGTCAAACAATTAGATTTAAGTTAAATAGCCCATTTAGAAAGCTGTTGGGGTCTGTGTTTGACTTCGTAACCTTAGTAACCAAACAATGTACATTCCCTTGATTGCTACGATTTTGGGGGGTCAATTCGCGGCGTTCATCAACGAGAAGGTTGTTATTTCAACCGTGATTCAGTGAAATCACTCACTGCCCTCTTCTGTTGAGAACACACTGATTTCTGGCCTGCGATCCAAAAAGTAATCTCCAATATTTATTTGCATCTGCCTCAAGCGAAGACTCTTTAGAAGCATCTAAAGTGAAGAAAATCAGCTTTGGAAATGTTCCTCCTGTGACTGACGGACCACGTCTTGACCTTCCGGGTCGGGCTGTCCGAATGAAGAGTAATAAAGCGCGAGGCCGATGCAGACTATTCGTGAGTAGCGGCGCTCTAGGTTTGTCATGGTGATTATTGCATCTCTAGAATTTTTGCTGACTAATTGCTAATTGGCTTGTTGAGGGATTTTTTTCCCCAGTTTCAGGACATCCGTGCAAATAAACCAGGGTCCCAATTTCCGGTATATACTCGTTTAAACTGGAATCTGAGTTAACAGGTGACTTTTGCAATTGGCTGCGCTCGCCAAGAGACGATGGCGGCAGCATTCGTAAATGAATTCAAGCCGGTCGGGACTTTGTGCTGCTGACGTCACCGTACTTACGGAGGCTGTTGGCTGAGACGCGGGTCTGCATGTTCTCGTAGTGCTGGCCAAGTCCAATGTCGTCCGTATGTTCTGAGGCAGGATGTCGGATAACATGTGCAAGAGCTCTGAAAAGATCAAGTGAAATCTCAAGAAAGGATATTTTTCAGTAAACAAGTACAGATTCTTTTCCCTTTGAGATCTGGCTGTTCCTCCTGCAAAAGGCTCCTCCCAAAAAATGTGACAGTTTGTTTGTGAAATGTTTGTTTGTGACATCATTTGGCAGCAGCATTGCATTACTGCGCCATATCTCAGCTGTATAAGTTGACAGAGGAGGGAAGGAAGGTTACAGTAAGCTGGAGGCAGGAAGACAAACTGCTGTCTCCGGTGTCAGAGTCATTGAAGTGGGTTGAGATGCCGCCACATTTGTTTACCCACCAACCTGGCTCGTATCGAACGTCTCCTACAATTCCCACAATGCAACGTGGTAGTATCTTTCTTAGGGCCCTACTTCATGTTCAACATAAGTTATTAACGCTGTTTTTTGTTTTTAAAGCAGTCTTGGGGGAGGGGGGGGGGGGGCACTCACTAGTGGCCATTGGTAAGAATGTGAGGTTAATAGGTTAGGATCCTGATGAGGATGTCGATCAAGTCAATGGGCCACCCGATGTAGGGAGCTCTGTCTTGGGCCTAGCAAGGTGGTTGGTAGGGCAGGGGCTATATTCCCAAGGACAAGCATGAACCCATATAAAAGGTTTGGTAAAAAAAATACCCATATAAAAGGTTTGGTAAAATTGTCTTTTTTGGAAAAAGGGGAAAACGAACACTCATGTCTTCACGTGTGCAGTTAGTTCTGTTCATTAGCTTTGAGTTGCTCATCATAATCCTCCCATTCTCATATTCTGAACCTTTAGGATTTGCTGCCAGAACTTCAATTGATTATCGTAGCTGTTCACAGTGTACAGCTATCCAGTGCTATCCACTTCAAGAGTGTTTATTGCTTATGAAATCAGAACCTCCATGTAACTCATTTAAATGACTTTGTACAAGTCAAATTCTAATAGCGTTAAACAACATGTATTTTTTTATTGCACTTTAAGGATTTAATTCATAGCCTGGACTGCAACAGACTAATACAAATACAGGACAACAATGGGCCGTGTTTCCTCAGACATTTTCTGCAAGAGAAAGATTGACTGTGTTTTTTATGTTCAAACTCTCTGCAGGTGCTTGATGCTCACAAGCACGTCTGCATCAATCAACATTTTCCCACCTAATAAAAAAAGTAAAATCAGCACGCGGTGCCTTTAAAGAAAACTCGTCGTAAATACTATTAAAGAAAACTCGTCGTAAATACTATTAAAGAAAACTCACAATATGTTACCTAATTGTTGGGTTCAATTGTATACTGAAAATGAAGACTGAAGACATATTGTATCACAAACCCAAACTGGTGTAATTTTAGTGCATTTTAGCGCTTTCTAAGTTATTGTATTTCAAAAAAAAAATAACGGCAATATAATCCATATTGAAGAAGAAAACAGAATTGTGTTTGTGTCCGAGGGACATGGAAGTGGGGAAATGGACGCTGAACTGTTGAAGGCTTTAACAGCTGAATCCGGTTTCCCTTCAACTCCAAGCTTGACTTTGAGTGTGTTACCTGTTGCACAGGTGAGTTAATACCCGGTGGCCCGGTGACGCACAACAAGATCAGCTTTTAGATGTTTCCAAAGATCAAATCAAATGGCGCACGCCGACCTACCGTGACATGTTTCCCCGGTGCGGAAGGTGCGTCTTTTCCAAAACCAGCTTGGTGAAAATCCCCACCAGTGCCACAATGGCCACGACCCCGCAGATCACGTACGCGACGAGGTTGGTTTTATCCTTCGCGGCGTCCAGCGCCACGTCCGCTTTCGGCGGGGGTCTCCCCGTCATCATCGAGGGCGGGGTGTCGTTGTTCTTACAGTTGGTCTGGTTCAGCCGGGAGCTCCTGAGCGAGCAGCAGAACCTGAAGCCACAGCTGCCGCAGCAGTACACGTAGTCGGCCGTCCGGCACAGGAACGGCGGATCCCACTGGCCCATCACGTCGTAGTAGCCGCGGCACCGGTCCTCCACGTGGGGGCTCTCCGTGACCCCGCGCCCCCCTCCGTCTGAGTCGTTGAACCCGGCCGCCGGCGTGAGTTGGTCGCGCGCCTGACCCGGCTCGCCCTCCGCGCGGCACGCCCTCATCTCCACTAGGAAGCAGCCGAGCAGCAGCTGCGTGCCCCGCATCGTCGCTCACTCGGTGCCCCCGCTGCTGACGCGCCGAGAAGCCCTCACGAGTCCGCGCGCATCTCCCGGGTAGACGAGACACTGTTGTGCGTAAAAGGCGCAGTGCGCGCTAGAACTTTGGTCTCCTTGAGTAAAAACAAAAAAACAAAACAAAACGGCTGCTACAGTCGATCACACACACAGAGCGAGAGAGGGGAGCGGGGGTTACAATACAACTTGTGTTGTATTAAGTCCACACTTGTGCTTTCAAAACAACCCAATAACAAAGAAGAAAACACCGCATTTACATGGATAGAAAGGCACACAATGTGATTATGCCAATCGTTTTGTTCAGCTCTGTAAGATATCAGTCACATGGGAACCAAACGCATTGACTTCTCTCAGGTTACTCCGTGTTTTCACTCATGTTTGGCTTGAGAAACGTGGTCGTCTCCACCTGAACGTCTGCCTTTGGTTCATCTTCATGATTTCCAAGTTTTTGGAGGACTTTCCCCCTGACCTCTGATCTTCCACCAACACTTTGGTGAATGACCAATGAGTCAGAAATTAGGATAGTGTTCATGTATTGTAATAACATCTTTTGATATCTGTTTCCACCCGACGAGAAACAGAAACACTTAAATCAGTTTTAAATTTAGCTTTTAAATAAAAATAATCCTTGGATGTTATTACAGCTGAGTAAGAAGTATTATGTAATCTCTGTGCCTTGGATTACAGTTTGATTAACCTTACAGATGTACTGTCTAATTTACTTTTATGTATTCCAATGTTCATTACATCAGCCTGAACGTTTCAACCATGAACCTTCAGCTATTAATTACTGACCGTTTACAAACTATAACAGATGATGAAGGGGACTTGATGAAGGCGAGCGTGGATCTGAAAAGAAAGCCAGCTATTTATTTTTAGAGAAAAGTTTTTATCTAAAATTAGGATTAGTGGAAGGAGGCTCACCATCTGCCACTCGAGAAATCTTGCTCTCTTTTTTTTTTTTTTTTTTGTTTGATGTCGACTCGTAGCCATGGGAGGCTACTGTTATTTACGATCCTCAGGGGAGGTTTTTCTTGTCTCGTCTTCGTGCTTCTTTAAAGTCAACTATAAATTTGCCCAGCTTCAAAGAAGAAACTTCAGAGTTCCTTTTTTAAAGTCAAAAGACTATTTTCATTAGGACCAGATAAGATCCATTTGACGACGTCTCATTTAAATGTTCAATTGTAAAAGTGGATCAAAAGCCGACAAATTCACCAGACCGCATTCTGTTTTGGTGGCTGCGAATCTCCTCCCCCAGTTGGTGTTCTCGCCGTGGGGCTGCTCAGTGCCCTTTACGTCTCGTGAAACATTGTTGATGAGTCACTTTGTTCATGAATCATACAGAGAAGTTGATAAACCCTTTTTCCTTTTTAAAGCTTCATCTTGTAGATATTTCGTTCACACCGTGCACCAAAAACAGAAGAATCTGATTAAATGATGAAAAGTTGTGTATGTTGGTCTAGTTTTGAAAGAGGTACAGGGGACATATTTCCACAGGACGTCTCTACAGTAATCACATGTGAAATTACTAAATTTAAGCAAAGGACAACACAAGTTTGTTATACTGAGCAGGCGGGAGACGTGTTTCCAAAAGAAATATACAAAGTTTATTTCTGCCACAATTAAAATCTATCAAAAAGGTTACCGTGTTTTCCAGGGCAGGGGCCTTCGTGCTCAAGGTGAGTGAGGGGGAGGGGTGAAGGTATAAACTAAGAAAAGTCTCCCTTGCCATCCACCTCCTGTTTCAGGTAGCAAAACAAAATCAAATAAGGGACTTCAATCCCAAAAAAACAGCAGCAGGTTATGTCAATAAAAAGAGGGTTTGGGTTATGTCCACAAAAATAGGGTTTGTCTTATCCCCATAAAAAGAGGGTTGTTTTATCCCCATGAACAGAGGGTTCTTTTATCCCCATGAAAAGCAGCAGCAGTCCGAAAAGAGTACGGTTCGAGGTAGCCGGGTACCGAGCCCTCAGCGTGACATCGCTCCGGCACCAAAATGGAAACTAGCAGACACACGCCGTCCAACCTGCCAGCACCTGCACATATACTCACCTAAAGGATTATTAGGAACACCATACTAATACTGTGTTTGACCCCCTTTCGCCTTCAGAACTGCCTTAATTCTACGTGGCATTGAGTCAACAAGGTGCTGAAAGCATTCTTTAGAATTGTTGGCCCATATTGATAGGATAGCATCCTGCAGTTGATGGAGATTTGTGGGATGCACATCCAGGGCACGAAGCTCCCGTTCCACCACATCCCAAAGACGCTCTATTGGGTTAAAGAAACCAATTTGAAATGATTCAAACTTTGTGACTGTGACTCGGTGCATTATCCTCAACAGAAATCGAGACTCATCAGACCAGGCAACATTTTTCCAGTCTTCAACTGTCCAATTTTGGTGAGCTCTTGCAAATTGTAGCCTCTTTTTCCTATTTGTAGTGGAGATGAGTGGTACCCGCTGGGGTCTTCTTCTGTTGTCCGTCTGTAACGGTCCATCCATCTCAAGGTTGTGCGTGTTGTGGCTTCACAAATGCTTTGCTGCATACCTCGGTTGTAACGAGTGGTTATTTCAGTCAAAGTTGCTCTTCTATCAGCTTGAATCAGTCGGCCCATTCTCCTCTGACCATCAAGGCATTTTTTCGCCCACAGGACTGCCGCATACTGGATGTTTTCCCCTTTCCACACCATTCTTTGTAAACCCTAGAAATGGTTGTGTGTGAAAATCCCAGTAACTGAGCAGATTGTGCAATACTCAGACCGGCCCGTCTGGCCCCAACAACCATGCCACCATCAAAAATTGCTTAAATCACCTTTTTTTCCCATTCTGACATTCAGTTTGGAGTTCAGGAGATTGTCTTGACCAGGACCACACCCCTAAATGTATTGAAGCAACTGCCATGTGATTGGTTGATTAGACCATTGCATTGAGATTATGATAATTGTATTGCACTGCGAAATTGAACAGGTGTTCCTAATAATCCTTCAGGTGAGTGTAAACGCGCGGTATTATGGTGCACGGATGGACACATTGGCGTGCAATTAATTATTACGTACCTGCGCGGTGGAACACAATTTTGCGCCACACCAGAGAGTGCGGAGCGTCTGCAAAACCTGCAGCCAGGCAACCCGGAAGAAGAAAGTCTGCACCCGTCGCCAGAGAGAGAGCAGATCTACCGATCCCTTCTTATATGGCAGACAATTAAAGGGACAAGACCGCGAATGGGCAAAGAGCAGTCATCCTGCTACACGTGCATCGATGGCAGGGACACTCGGGATACGTTGTCTGCCTCCTGCTCACCAGGAGAAACAAACGCTCAACCACGGGGAGTGATTTGTGCATCGGTGCCATTCCCAAGGACGCTTCCACATGTAGACGAGGGGGACAAACCACCAAGCTTCTGATGAGGGGTTGATGCTCGACCTCCAGAGCCACATTTAGGGAAATACAAATGCATCGTTTCAGATCGCTGAAGATGAAGCATATTCTCTGGTGTTGTATTCGTAAAGCAGATGGTGGTTAAGCTCCTTAATTATACTTTAGTTGTGTGGTCAAGGATCTGGTCAATTATGTTTTGGCACAGTGAAAACCCGTAAAATAAACCCACAGTCAAAACCCGTAAAATGAACCCACGGTCAATCACATTAACATGTACAGCCAGTGTCAACATTGGTGTGACAATACTCTGAAGAGGTTTTGATGCTACATCTTTAAAAGGGAAACGCTGCATATTCATACTTGACACAGGTTTTGTTCCCTTGAAAGATCTGTTCTGTGTGTCCTTGTGTTCTTTTTATAAGTCCAGTCTCGTCAAATTCGGCTGTTCTCATTAGGGCTCTATATTTATCTGTTATCGCAGTGGCTTCCTCGTGTCATTTTAACGTCAGCGTTTTGAGCAGGTTGAAAGGAATCGTATCACAAAGGTGTGCTGAGTAAAATCAACATCTGCTTCTCTCAATACACAACACTGCTGTTCAACAAATAAATTGTTAGTAGCTTTTGTCATGCAACACCATAAAATAGATACCAACATAAATCCTTTAATATGCAAATATTTCTCAGAAAGCCGGCTGGCCTCTCCTGATCTGTAATATCAACGGCCGTGGCCGGGAGAACACTTCATGTCAAAGTGCTGTTGTTACATCAGCGACCATTTTCATCATTGAATGAACTATTGCTGTTTCATAAATGTGTTGAATTCCACATTTCATGTCATTTTCCCTTGAAAGCGACCCTTTGTTGGGTGTTTTGAGAGACAGTTTGCTGCTAAATATCAACAGAGTTAAAAAAAAAAGGGTGAAACCTGATTGAAACCAGATGGGTAGATTCTACCTCCCTGATCACGTCACTCAAGTCTGCGACCAACAGACCCTTTAGACTCTCGTTTTTCGTCCGGCGGCGGTCTGCGTTGCCCTCGGAGCGTGTGAGAAGGACACGGGTTTGTTAACACTCAAGTTAGTCGCATAGAGAGACTCCTTCGAGGTGTCGGACCTCAACGAACACTGACGAGGCGGCGTTGTTTCATGCATTTCACGTCCCTTTTTCAAATCAACCTTCAAAACAGGACTGGAGTTTCTCACCATTTGTATCAGCGGTGAATGACCACAAAAGGTGTGCTCGTGACTTACTTTCCCATGACTGTAGACGGCTGAGACTGATATTTGGGGAGATATGCAACATGTTAAACACGCTGTAGCCGATGTTCAATCGCTGCTTCCCTCAGTCTGCGTCTTCGTTTTACACACAGTCGGGAGCAAAGAGCACTGCAGAGACATGTTGTCATAGTTACAGGAAGAATGGCTGCGATGACCAGGAGTTAGACAGACTGATGGCACACAGTATTTCATGAGCCGGTTATTCAGCTGCAGGATTTTACTATGGGTTTTCCTATGGATGAGCTCGTGAATGGAGATGGTCTGAGCTTCCGGATCACTTCTTGTTGTGTTGATGCATTTGGGAGGGCACCATCATTTGGTCTCTTTTTAGTGGTTGGGAGCCGTGGATTATTCCCAGAAATTAACTTAATAATTTTTCTCCCTGGAGAAAACAGTTTTAACTGGATGAGAAAAATGTTCATTTTATTTTATACTCCAATCCCTGGATGGACCTGCTCACAATGACCAAAGCATTTATTATTTAGCACCGAGACGAACCTTTTTGAAATAAACGTGTAAAATTGAAAGCAAAAAGAACATGAACGAAA